TGGACACACAGTCTTCCTCTCAGCATCAACTCGGTCATCTTCAAGGTACGTCTTTACTGTAACACTCGCTGGATCAAACCTAGCACACAGCACACAGTGTGACGTGAAGCCTCGATTGATAGCCACTTAGCTGGCTTACCTAGCATGGACGGGTAGTTGAATAAACGGGTTTCCTGCAATTTAGGACATACATATAAACTGCGCAAAAAGACGCAGTTTGTACATTAGCTGTAATGACATGACCGTAGTTGTATTTGCACAACTGTCATTATTTGTTGACTGAGTCTGTTAGACAGTTAGCTCGTTGTCAAGCTAAGGTCAAGAAGCTGGTCAGCCTGGCTGCTAACAAACATGGTAACTAAGTCCATTAACGTAACTATCGGTGGATTGTCTTCTATTTATAACAAATGTCATGTAATAACAATACTATCTAAAACTTCAAGAGTGACGTCTGTCCGGATATCTCTGAGTATCAGACGTAGGTAGTATTAGTACCTTTAGGTAGTGCTAAGTGATTTTAGCTTGACGTTAGCTCATTGTAAATTTAATTCAGGACAGAAAAGCATCAGTAGTAAATGGCAGGTTGTTGCTGTTGTTTGGTGGCTTGGTTCGGCAACCTAGGATCAGTTGTACCAATGCTAGTTCAGATCGTGCTTCGAACCGTGTTTATTTGAAGACATGCCGGTGATGCAGGGCTGTTTAATCATTCATCTCCTGAATGTTGTGCTTGCCCAAGTCAGCCACTAACGAGCGAAGCACTTTCAAACTGAATTCGGGATAAAGAATGTGTGATGACTTTCTTTAGTAAACAACGAATTGTAAAACTGCACGTCTTTCTCCAGACATTCATGTTAGTTTTAGGTTCAGCTGTGATTAGTTTTACAACACAAAATATAACAAAATGACAACAGTTTTGTTTACTTTTCAGAAATCGTTGAGTTTGCAACCTTTTTTCCTGAATGAATGAAATATAAATGACAGGGGCCAACAGCGTTGAAGCAGGTAGTGTTTAATTCACTAGTCAAAGAATCTTTTGACCGTTTAATATGTTAAAACTAAACAAAGTCATTTTGTATGATAACCTTTTTCTAAACATGAACAAAGTTGAATCAGACATATTTTTCTAAGCTCTGAAATCAGTTTTACCAGACGTCAGTTGAAAAGTGATTTGGCGAGGTATAATTTAGTCCTTAGCCTATAATTTGATCAGGTTTTCTTTTCCAGGCAGAAGACCAACATCTGGAGCTCTTCTACTAATGTTTCTGTGTGTATATGGCAGACCTTGTAAAGTCTCGGAAAAGGTTACCCACGTTCCTGGCATGCATAGGTTACTGTGATTAATTTGCTATTATCCCAGTTAAATCACAGTTTCTTGTGAGCTAAAATCTGTCAGTCTTCAGACTCCTAGTTGCTGTGTGATGTGCTGGTGGTCTGTTCCTTAGAAGTCTTCTTTTGTCAGAATTCTTTGGAGGTTTGTGATTATTTTCATAACTGGTCCTGGGTTTATGTTTGGTCATTGGGTTCTGGTTGTGAGCCAACTGCACAGGAACATGTTGTGTTTGTTTGTTTCTGTTCAGTACATAGTCCTCTTGCGCTCTTCCTCAACTGAAGGTTCAATTGGCATTGCTTGACTGTCAGCTGGTCAGGTCTGTATTTACATGGCCCACTTTGCAGTTAGATCAAAGCATGAAGGTAACCCTCACCAGTAAATTGTTGCCAGTTTTTGGAAAAAGCTTTAATCTTGGGTCCTTTGAAAAGTCATGGTCCTATGATACAATCCCTATGTCAGACACAAACTGCCATAAAATAAACCAACCTTACATAAAATAAACCAACCAAAGAATCAATCCTTACTAATGCAGTTAGATCAGCAGTTGTCATTAATTGCAGGTAGGTCGTATAATAAAGCAGTAATGGTGCCGGTGTAGGGTAGATGTAAATAATGTGTTTTATGTTTAAATATGTCCAAATGTTTAAATGTTAGCATTCATACAGATCCCATTTAAATCTTGAGAAATAAAAATTACTAAATGAACTAACTAAAAAACCATATCAGAAAGATAAGTAAAATATCACCTGTCTGGTACTAAAGTCATCAATGTAGCTGTCATTGTAATTAGTCACCCCTAATTGAAAGTTACAGTTAAAGCACACATTTTTTCAAATTTTGTGGTGTAGCTTATTACATATCAAGTTTGGTAACAGGAATTTTGCAGGTTGTTGAAATTTGTTTTTGAGTGTTTCTTTTTGTGTCTACGAAGCTGTGTCCACTGTGACTCTTAAATATGTTCTGCTTCTTGTTGCATGATTTATGTTAAATATGGTTTCTAATTAAATGTACCATTCCAACACTGTATTAACAAAAAAAGTAATAAACAAATTAATTTACAAATTAAATGACAATCAAAATATCGATACCCTGAAATATCAAACCTGTAAATCAACTCCAAGGAAATCATCATTTTATTCCCAACTATAATAACCCTTCTTGGTGTTAGTACTAAAATGTTTTTTTTTAGCTGTGTGAACTGTTGAGAGTTGTAGTGGTTGTGATGACTACAGAGTCTGTGGTGAGAAAGGGACTCAAATGGCAGGCATGTTCATGCTTCATAAGTTGTTTTGACTGCCTTCAGTTGTTTCACCCGGATGATAGTGTGTGTGTCTGTGTCTGTGTGTCCAGTTACAAATCAACAGCTGCTCTGTTGATTTGTAACTGGACACATGGAGTTTTCTGGATGAAATTCTCACAGATGTGTTTTCAGTTTATCTCCCACAGGGCTGTATTATTCAGAGAAAAAGTTGAGAAGAGAAAACTTTCCTCAGTTTTACCCTTTCCATTATTCCATTATTTGTCCCTCTGCTTTATTGTCTTTTTAGATTTTTTGTCATATTTCATCACTTCATTTTTATCTGACAACAAGTTTATCTCATTATTACTTAAGCTGAAGATTAAGTTTGTGATCACATCTAGTGTCAGTGTCAGCCTTCGGCCCAACTCCAGCTATTTTCAGCAAATTGAGTAGCTGAGTGAATACATCCTGTTGTATCATAAAACATTATTTTGTCTTCTGAGAAGGAAGGAAGGAAGGAAAGTGAACTACTTGTCATTGTGACACAGCTCACCACTGCACACAACCAAATGTGACCTCTGCATTTAACCCATCACCAAAGTGAACAGTGGGTAGCTTTAAGGACCAGGGAGCAGTGTGTGGGGACGGTGCCATGCTCAGTGCTCAGCTTCCTTAGCCACCACTGCCCAGAAGAACACATTAGAAGAATTCTCCACTGAACTTTATGTCACAAACATTCCACATCCCTAAGGAGAACCCCCCCCACCCTCACCCCATCCCCGATTTGGGAACCATTGCAATAGGGAAAAACCTGAGACTAAACCTGAAATCAAGCTGCTTAAAAAGATGATCTGCACCGGTGCAACTCTTAGAACCACACCGAAGTCTGCCTGAAGTAATTATACGAAAGATGAAATGGTCTGAAAGCATATTATTCAGTCAAGCATGACAAAACAGACATTTTTGGTCAATGAGATGTTATCTGTGTTTAAACTAAACTAAAGCACCTGAAATTATAGCACTGAAGGCAAGAGATTTAACTACTTAACCTGAATTTCAAAACTATTTTAGGTCTCTTTACTGTGTAGTTGTGCAGTTGGAAAACCAATCACATATTTGTCTTGTTTCTTGTTTTGTTGTCAAATGTGCTACTCAGAAACCCCCTCTCACCACAGATATTTCTGGTAGACCTTGTTTGTCTCTGTCATTTGAAGAGAGCTGGATTTCCTGTCATACACATGATCAGTAAGAAAGTCAGAAATAGCAGCTTAATCAGTCTGTCACCATCCTCTGACTTATCCCACTGATGGTTGATGATGTGAAGCATGGTCAGATGGTCAAACAGATTCTTTAAGCTGATTGGCTCTTAGTGGAGGTCATCTTGCAGAAACACCTGAGGCAGATATGATTATGACAGTAACTTGTGTCATCTGCATGTCTTTTGGTTTGGTTTGTTTTTACCCACAGACTGCACCAGTCACAGTTTCCCGAATACTTTCAAGCAGGTGCTTATCCTCAGCTTAAGTGCAGAGTAGGGATAGTGTTTTGGAGGTCAGCTGATTAAGGGCACACTCACACTAGGTCCAGTTGCTCTGTGTTGCGCTGAAGTGCCAATTGCCCCCCTCCGCATCCCCCTTTGGCCTGCACTCACATTACCCCAGAGGCAAGCAGGCAAAAGCCCGGTTGCCTCCAACACATGCGTTAATGACTGTTGTTTATACGTGGTTAAAGCAGGGCGATTGAGAGCGAATCTGACAACAACGGACAAACACCTGCTTTGTGAATGATCTTCAAAATAGTCAACCCTCTGATCAACATGGTCATTACTGTGAGCTGCTGTCGCTCTGAAACATGATGGAGAAGAATATCTGCAGCTGCATCTGACTGTGATATTCATGAAGGGTGTGTGTTTTGAGTGGAGGACAGACACAGAGAGACAAAGACAGAAAAAAAGAGATACACATTAGCCCTCAACAATGTCTCGATTTACTGACTTCACAAGGTAGCGATTCACAGGTTTTTGCAGTGGCAAAACGCTGCATGTGTGCAGGTTTGGCCCTGTGTTCCTCACCACTTCCAAATGCACTGTAGCGTTTTGGTGCTTCCTCAACACACCACAGTCCTGCTGGAGCTGGGATTTAAACTTAACCACTAGGCCACAGGTTGGCCACAACTGTATCATGGGCTTTTAAAAGAATAGGAGATAAAGAAATAAGGTATAGAAGTTGTGGGGATTTGGGAATAAAAGCAACAAGAGAAGAGGAGGGGGGACAGGCAGGTTGACCTTGACTCTGTATTTAACAAGCATTCGGACAGCCTTTTGCTGCAGCACAGACACAGGACGCTGCTTCGACAAACACACACACACACACACCTGTTGTCTATGCATTAGCCTTGCCATTTACTCACAAGGATCTAGAAACAGAAAAACACAGCGCTCAAACGGAATAAAATAATTTGATCTGATTTTACTCCTCTTCAGCCAGCCTGTGTTTGGTTCCATCTTTTATTTACCCTTGCAGTGATGTGAATGACCATAGTTTGTTGTTTTGTAATTGTAGTTGTTGAAGGTAAATGTGCGTTTTAAGCTTATTTAATTGTGCAACTATTAGTAACATGCAGTTGGCAAACGAATGTGATACTTTCTGAAATCATGGACCCACACTGGTCCCAGAAATGAACAGATGCGGTTTAATGTTCTAATCTCTGCTCTTGCAGACTCTGTTGTTGTTTATGATGTGCATGTTGCAGGGGTTTAGTGCTTGGCCAACCTTGGAGCGTGACCTCAGACAGTTGAATGTTGAATCTCCATAGATTTTCTTTTAATTTTTTAAATACATGCTCCATTCAGTGAGTCATGATTGAGGCCGGTGTTGTGGCTTGCTGTCAGTGCCTGCTAGCCTAGGCCTGGAACGATGTCGTCAGACATTTCATACTTTGATGACATGTCAGAAGACTTGAGGTTTGTCTACTGGCTGAATCTCACGTAAGTTGGTCGTTTATTTTAGGTTATTTGCCCTCCATCTGTCTCTTTAAATGTTCACATGACACGAAAGCTGAATTGAGGAAAATTGAGATTTTCCAAACAGTAGTCATTAAGAAATGGGAATGGTAGAATGGTGTTCATATTTTTCGTGACTTGTATGAATAAGCATTGGTCAAAGAACGACTGTAATGCAAAAACAAAATAAAAGCCACAATAGCTTTGAGTGCTGTTCTAAAGTGATGTTGCTCATTGTGTTGGAGACATTATCGAGCAAAATGCAAAAATCAATGTCATAGAATTTTTTTCAGTGTCTGAACTGCAGTGTACGTAGAATGTGTACGTACTTAATTTTTAGCTCATCTCTGTACATCATTAGCTCTCTTCAGTTATGACAATGACCAGATGATGTTTTCACAGCCACTTCTCCACTCTCATCCTCAGACTGACATTGATGGGAGTCACAGAAAAGGAAATGGCATAAAATTATCTAATTAGTACCAAAGTCGCTGATGGCCTGTTCTAACAGCGGCCTGACCCATTGAAGCAGCCTCTTCTGTGACATTGAACACTGAAAACCATGTGTGATTTATATGCTGATTTAAGCTGATTGAAACTGTTATAAATAGTAGTTGTTAAACAACACATTTATCTTTATATTTCTGCAGGAGTTGCTGTTCTGCCTAACAAACATCCTGCTGCTCCTGGTTGCTCTCTGCCCCTGCTGATCCTTGTCTTGGTGTAGTCTTTGTGCTGCCAGCGGTGGATTGGAGCACTCTGATCAGAAACTTTACAAGGTGGTTTTCCGGTCTGGCGCCGCCTCCCCCAGGGGCCGGCGTGCGCTCCCAGCAGCCTGTGGTGCCCTGTGCCCCCCCTTCCCTGTCAGTGCACAACAGAGCCCATGCCCAGGGTAAGACAGAACTGTTCTGGTATAGAACAGGTGTGATTCCTGCATTAGTTCAGCTTTTAAGTTATTAGAAAATTCTCATTAAAAATAATCCTTCACTTCTGCAGAAGGAGGCACAGTTCGTACGCCTGGAGCCATGTGCCTCCCTCACACTAACAACATGGACAGCAAGCTACACGGTTCAGGACAGGGGGGAGGGGCTTCACTTCGACAACGAGGAGGAGGTGTTCCACTGGAACCATTTATACACCAGGTAGGAAACACAACTGAAACGGTAGAACATTTGTCATGGAACGTCAACGTTTGATGTTGTTGGTTGTTCATAGGTGGGAGGTCACACGAGCATGATGCGCTATGATGATCACACCGTGTGTAAACCTCTGATCATCAGAGAGCAGCGCTTCTACGAGTCTCTGCCTCCAGAAATGAAAGAGTTCACTCCAGAATATAAAGGTCAGATGAAGCGAATACTTTCTTTTTTTCCTTCAAAACAGAAACAGAGGATACAAACAGTGGTGCAAACTTCCTGGTTTTATTGTTAATGCTTTGAATAAAGTGTATTATACAAATGATCTTCCATTAGACCAAACCTACATTACTAAAGATTAATGAAACAACAACAAAACAAATGGATTTTTTGCCAGAGATTGAATTTAATCTTCTCTCAGGGGAAGTCACCTCTTCTATGGTCGACCTTTCAACACAGCAGCAAATCTAATTCTGTTCAGTTCTTCTCTGTTTTTTATCACACGGACAGATAAACATTGGAGACAGAAGATAGACTGTCAGATTGAAAAAATGTGTTGAAGTTGTTCTGGTCTTTATCACCATTCTAACCATTTGCTCACATTCTTAATGTCAGTACTTGCTTAACTTGTAGTAATAGACGCAAGCACATTTTGGTAGATATAAACACACACTTTATTCAATCTGAAAAGGTCAATAAAAACAATAACCTTGTTGGTAATTAATCACGTTCACAGTCACTTAGAAACATGAGGATGTGAAGGTCGACCTATAAAGTTAACTCTTGTCAGTTGGTGTTGGATTGACATAGACACACACAGTTGTCTTGATAGGAGGCTGGTCATGTTGCAATGTCTTTGTAAGGGTATCACATGTCCACTGACATGCATTATTATAGCATTGCACTGTCCAAATATAACCTTGCTGAAGCTGTTGGTGACAGTTTTTTTATTATTTCCTAGTGTCAAGACTTTGAGTCTCCATGTGTTCTTGAAAAATAAATAAATAAAAATAAATTTGTACTATATTGATCCCATACTTGGGAAATTATTGCAGATATTCTGTTAACAGGCTGCCCCTAGCAAGAGCCAAACATGGTTTGAGAATCCTGGGTTCGATTCCTCTGAGAATTGAACCCAGGACTCTCTGCTCCCTAGGCAGGTGTGCCAACCACTGCACTAAAGATCTGTTGTGCTCCTGTTTTGATCTCTGTCTCCTCAGGTGTGGTGCTGGTTTGTTTTGAAGGAGATTCTGATGGTTACATCAACCTAGTGGCCTACCCCTACGTGGAAAGCAGTACGGAGGGAGGAATTGCAGAGCATGAGGATCGTGATCCTGCTGAGAGGGAGCAGCCAAGGAGAAAACACTCCAGACGCAGTCTACATCGATCCTCCTCTGAGCACAAGGAGGACCGGCCTGACAGGAGAGAGTCGCATGAGACAGATGCCACTGATAAGTGAGAACACAAATACAGCAGTATAGACAAAATAAAGATTTAAAACACACGTACAGAATAGTGGATGGATTTGTTAAGATAGAGGGGTTGTTAATAGTGATTGACTATAACAATTCAATCTTGAATCTTTCTGGAAGTTTTGCAGAGCTGAAGAGTCCCAGAATCGACTCAAAGATCCACTCAGATGTTCCCTTTCAGATGTTGGACTGGAACAGTGGTTTGACCTCAGAGAAGATCAGCCATAATCCCTGGAGCCTACGCTGTCACAAGCAGCAGCTCAGCCGCATGAGGTCGGAGTCCAAGGATCGCAAACTCTTCAGTATCCTTTCTCAGCCAGTCACTGTCTCAGATACTTCACAGACTATCTTTTTTTTCTCCGTTGTCCAGACTTTCATCCTGGGTATCCTATCTCCTGGCTGTCATCAGCCATTTTTGTCTCATCTTTTACTTCATTCATGGGAATTCTTGTTTCAGTTCAGGCCATAGTTGTTGATGCTATTTATTAGTTGTATTGATGTCGATGACTCTGATCATTTGGACTGATTACAAAAAGAGCCACTGAATATAAATATGGACGCGGCTTAGAACAGAGAGAGAAGAAGGGATGGTTTGAGGTTATCAGGTTAAAGGTCGTGTTTTGATGTTGAGCTTCAAAGACTGCAACTGCCATGAACACACAAACACACACACAGACTGAGTCCATCTATTTTTACTCTCAGCAGATTTAACAATGCTGCCATTTCTACAACTATTTTCTTGCAGGTGAACAAGAGGAAAACATATTCATACACATTCAGTGGTTCAGTCGCACTTCACCCCAAACACAGTAAATAAAACAAAACTGTTGATGTAACAGTCAAACAAACGTTGCCTTCCTAAACAGTGTTTAACCAGAGTTCCTGTTGTTGGAAAATGTGGTTCACCACTTCTCCTACCCATGCATTCTGGACCTGAAGATGGGCACCAGGCAGCATGGAGATGACGCCTCAGAGGAGAAGGCCGCCAGGCAGATGAAGAAATGTGAACAGAGCACCTCAGCGACACTGGGAGTCAGAGTGTGTGGCATGCAGGTACAATAATCACCTATCTAACCTATTTAAGAAAATTGTAGGGAATCCTTAGGGGGAAAAGTAACACCCCCCTCCTGAACATATTTGTGTCGTGACATTGATGGTCACATCTTTTCAGTTAGTTTCTCTGAATTTATCCATAACCAAATGACAAGACAGAGAGCTGGTGGTTATTTGATTCAAAGATCTCCTCCAATATAATACATTAGATGAGGTTCAGTCATACGAGTCATACAGCTCACTAATACGTGTGTAAGTGCTTTGTTTTGAGCTTGACTGGTTTTCCTTCTGCAGGTGTACCAGCTGAACACAGGTCACTACCTCTGCAGGAATAAGTACTATGGTCGCGGTCTGTCGATTGAAGGCTTCCGTCAGGCACTGTACCAGTACATGCACAATGGAAAGGGTCTGAGGCAGGACCTCCTGGAGCCAATCCTGAATAAGCTTCGGAGCCTTAAGGAAGTGATTGAGAGGCAGGCGTCCTATCGCTTCTACTCCTCTTCTCTGCTCATCATCTATGAGGGAAAGGTGAGTCAGTTTGAAGTTATTGTGCAGTCCTACAGTGTAGCGGTCATGCAGGTGGAAGATGCTCTTTTTTGTTTGAATTAAAACACCTGAAAAGGACAAGTGCAGTTTAAAAAATGTTTTCGTAAGAAACTGCTGCAACTACATATGCTGCCCTGAATTTAGACTAAAAATGTGAGATGAAGTCCTGATGATATTAATTTACATTTTGCCAGTGCAACCTCTACCATCACTGTGGCATTTGCAGTGGTGGCCAGTTATTGCTTTTACCAATGAATTGTATCTATAACAAACATCAGGACAAAAAGAAAAAAAACCTCTCAGCAACCTTTGCGTTGCTCAGCAGTGGAATATGAAGTTTCACAGCACTTGAGGATAAGATTAGCCACTACCAGCTAGTATAAACAGGGAAAGTCAAGAGTGTTATGTAACTGCAGCTGTATGTCACTACTTGACACATGTTTTGTTTCGCTGTCTTTTTGTGAAAAACACATGTGGAATGTGGTTTTCCAGACGACTTCCAGTTTCCTATAGACATTAAAAACATGTGAGTGTGTACATGTCAGACATACTGTCTGTAAACCAGAAATGTTTTATTGTCTGCTTCATTATTGGAATTCTAATAATAATTATTAACTTATTGAGCTCTGGTTGACATAACCCAACAATATGTTTTACAGGAAACTGATGAGCCCTCCATCTTCAGCCCTGTGCAGCCTGTGGTCTGTCCACAGAAGACTCCTGCTGCTCCTTCAGAGCCCACCCCAGGTCCCCACACTCCTCTGGCCCCCGAGGCTCCCTGTAAAACGGACATGAGTCAGAACCCAGACCCTGGGTCAGTTTCCTCTCAGGTGTCCGAACTCAAGGCTCAGCCCTCTCACTCCCCTCAACCTTCCCCACAACCACCACTGACCACCACGTCAGACTGCCACGCCTCCCCTTCTTCCTCAACTCGCACTCATCCAGACTCCTCCACCCCTTCTTCCTCTGCTCCAAGTTTATTTTCCTTTGCTCCCTCACCTGCACCACAACCTAAACAGCCCCCCCTTGTGGATGTTCGTATGATCGACTTCGCCCACTCCACTTTCAAGGGTTTCCGTGGAGACACAGCAGTGCACGATGGCCCAGATAGAGGATACGTGTTTGGACTGGAGAGCCTGGTCCATATCTTGGAGAGCTTGCGGGACGGCAACCTGCCGTAGCACGCCGCACATAACAATTTGGGCACACACATGCGCACAACCATGCACATTTACGCATACACACTCGGATAAAAATCCCACACAAATCTGGCTTTGAGCTTGATTAGGTCATGCCGCTGAGACGTCTCGGCTGTAAATATGAAACAGGGTTCTCCAGGATGTCGCCATGGAAACATGAGCATTCTACAGTCAAGTAGTTTCTATAGCAACAGGCAGTCGGTGAGACAGCAGCTTAGAAGAGGAAAATCACTTCACTGTCACAGGTTGTAAGTCTACTTGTGGGGACACTCAGTGTAATTTTATCACTTAAAATATCGCAATGTCAGTTTATTCATCTTCGCATGTAAAAAACAAAACCACAGGCATCTTCAAGAAATATAGATAAGAATATCACAGGAGTAGACTGAAATGGAATAAAAAAAGTAGTAGTTTGCAATTGACATGGAGGTCACTCAGGACTTAGGTCAGAAACATGACCCACATGTAATGTCAGTGAAAGGTCTCATTTTTACTTCAGCATCCATGTTAAGTTGCAAGCTTGAGCTATTTGAACTCTGAGTGCAGGTTTAGGTTCTGGGCTTCACCTTGAGAAAAGGCAAAAGGTATCATTGTAGCAGACTGCCAGTGGAAGCTGTAGTGACAACTCAGTGTGAACGACTGACACACGACAAGTGCTGCAACAGTGGCATGCTGCTCAGGTAGACTTAAAAGAAGGGTATGCAAAAATTTACTAAAGAGAAATTGTCACATTTGAACGGACCACCAGAAGTGTACAGTGGTGTTTTCTTCTGCAGGGATACTTTCCTGTGCAGGGATTTTCCACTCTTTTCTTTTCTGTGTGGTCAGGATAATCCTGAGTGGAAGTGTTTCCTGGGGACAGATACACCCACTGGGTGTACTGAGTGACTGTTAAAAGCCAAAGAGAATGAATTAAGATTTGAGGAAGGTTGGGGTCCGATCACAGGGTGAGATGAATGTAGGTTATGAATCTCTACACCCGTTTGTTTCATAGTGTGATTTTTCTTTTTAGAAAATAGTTGTGTTAAATGATGGTTTCATTTTGATCACCAGTTTTACATATTTATATTTAGTATTAATGTAGTATCAGGGAAGTCAAAGGCTAAATTATAGCATCCCCTGCAGGCAGGAAGCCCTTCTACTTGGAAAGCGTTTCTGCATACTCTTCTTTTAAGGGAATGGTAGTTCCTACTTGAGCTCAGACATTTCCCGACACCTTTTATATATATTTGAACCTATTTACATTATATACATTTCCAGAAAATAAATGTCACAAACATCACTTGTCATTCCAGACTTTTGAGTAAAGGTTTTACATTTACAAATGAAGTGAACTTGAATCCAAATGAGAAATCAATCGGTGGAGGAAGTACAAATGTGTCTAAAGATCATGTTGGTCCTTGCACAGACTGACCAACAGCATCATCCAAACATGCACACAGACGCATCCTAGGAGCGTTTGTCAGCAGAGAAGCTCCGTGAACAATCATTCAGCTGAAACTTGGCCAAAGTCCTCACTTATTTTATTCACTCCTAACAACAAATACCCCCTTTTTCACCATCTTACTGTGCAGATACAACAAACCAAACTAAACCTGGACCGAAGGATGGATTCTTCAGCATGTCCCATTGGAAAACACACACAAACACCTGAGAAAGCAATGGATGAGGATGATGATGAACATGATAGATGGCAACTCTTTTCTTCATCAGTGTAGGGGGGGGTCGCCCCCTGGAGGAAGTGACTGTGCAACATAAATGTGCATCATAGAGTTAGGCTTTAAGAAGAAAATACAGATCACTTAAAAAAAAGATACAGTACACTGTACGTCTGTTTTTGGGGTTATATTTAAAAAAATATGTGAGTACTGTGTGTCCTGTTTAACAAAGAAAAACATCCTCTGGGTAAATGTGTCAGTGTCAGTTTCACAAATGTGGTCTATAACAAGTGTATTTTCTATATTGTCAACAATTCCCATGGAGAAAGTAGAATCAAATGTGTTGGTTTTAACAGAGGAGGAGTTCTAAAACTGTCTGTTACCTCAGTGTACACTTATATACCAAACAACATTGTGCTGTTAAAACGCTTATGACAGATTTGATCCCCAAGTTTGTATTTCCATCTATAGTCAATGCAATTGCAAATGGCTTAAATTGTGGATGATGTGCTGCTGAGGAGATTTGATCATTTCCTCAATGTATTGTTTAGCATAAATGTGATTTTTACACAGGATAATAATGTCAAGGAACGCATTTTTGCTTTTACACACATGGGATTTGCTGACAGTGAGAAAAGAATAGATTAGTTGCAGCTATTGTCTTTACGTGAGGGATTGGTGACAGAGTTCGTGTGTCAACAGTGTTGGTTTATACATGTACATGTCAATGACTGATGGTGAACGCAGTCACAAAGTTCTGTGTCGTGACCATGTCGATGGGATCAGTTGGAGAAAACGGTGACTTGACTGTCACCCAGCCTCGCCTCCAGCGTCACCATCCTGCCAGTGTCAGCAGAGGTTGTGTCACCACTGAGGACGTTACACCACTATTATCCCCTCTGATCGGTCTGATTAGACTGCGTCACCCAATGACAAACAACATCCAGAGGCCAGGGCTGTGCTGTGATACTGCACTGCCCCCTGCTGAAAAAGAAGAGGAAACCAACCCCAGGAGCTGGACTTACAAGAGAGATAAAATATGAATATTTTATTTTTGATTTCTCAAGGCGATAATTTATTTTTTTATTGTACCTTTATCGATATGTGGGGGTAAATGTTTTGTCTTTCACACAACTCCCACGCCCATAAATGTCTACAATATAAAGAGGTTTAAGTGCTTTAGAGACGGTGCGTAGAAGTTGTTAGAAGTATGCTTTATATACATATATACACATATGTATACATATATGTGTATATATATACACATATATTTGTATACATATATGTGTGTGTATATATATATACATATATGTATGTATATATGTATATATATATATATACACATGTGTGTATATATAGGTATGTATATATGTATATATAGGTATATATATGTATGTATGTATATACATATATAATGATTTTGCTGACATGGCCTCAAGTCTGTTACTGATGATCTGCAGACCACCCAGGTTTATCAGCAAATCCAGGCTTGATTCAGGCCCATAGAGTCCCTACACCTCAGTTCTGTTATGGGAAGGTTCTTAAGCCTTCGTGAGTGTGCGTGCGTGCTAGCATGCAGGTATAGAAACCATCTTTAGTATTCAGTTGATTTCGCCTCACATTTTATTGAGTTGGTTAAAAAAACGCCCATTAACATCCTCCTGTTTTTCCTCAGTTTTTCGCACCACATTGTTACAGCAGTCTCGCATTCTGAATGCAGCGAGTCCACACTCAGATTATCATATCTATTATTCAATGGTTATTTAGCAGCATTTTCTGCATATGGCATTGTCCTGTTTGTTAGAAAAGTGAAATTAAAGTGAGATTAAATCTTTCCACGAACTTCTGGTGGTGGTAGCTGGTGTTGTAATTACGGAGTAAAAGGTTGATCCATGTTAACATGACTTTTTTTTAGTACCTTAACCGAGGAATAAGAAACCTTGTCTTTTAAAAAAATATTGGTTGGTATTACATTGGCAGAGTTAAATATTTATGCTTCACTTTCAAACAACAATAACGCACAATAAAAAAAGTAGTCTGTGCGAGGCCATCAATGAAACTAGGTTTTATATTCTTTTACAACAATCTCATTTTACAGGCCTGAAGAATAAGCTTGTGACACGGCCGAAAATTCTGATACGGTTTTATTTCAGACGTGGATTCTTAGGCCTTGGAAAATGGCTGACAGTGCACACCATTTTTGCTGTCACATATGTAATATTTTTTATTTAATAATGTCTACCTGAATGTATGAATAATGGTCATTACACCTGAATAAGGCCCTTTTCTGTGAAAGTGAATTTTTTTAGATGAACCCACAACTAAAGTACTTTTGTTTTTTAGATTTGATTTTAAGATGGAAAATTATCTTAACTAAATCTTTAGGACAGACTAATGAAAAATACTTCAGTTTTTTAACATCCTTCTTTCTCTTCCTTTGTCCTCATCCCGTTGTCATTCCTTGACAACTATACAGATCATACTCCCTGTACAGGACATAGTCCTTCAGTCGCCCTGGCAAAGGCAGGAAGCTCATAAAGACAGGTGACCGGAGACGAAGGCGTCCAAGGCAGCGACGGATTGTCAGCCGGCAGAGATGCTGCAGACAACGAGTGTTTTCTGAGAAGGAGGTAGAAGTTCAAAGTTCACTTTTGTTCTCCGGCTTCATCCCTGTAAAATGTAGGCATGAAGAGAGTTTGCTTTAGTTCACCCTGTAGGCTGCATATGTCGGGCCACTCAGGCTGCTCCATCACTGTTGCCTTCAGTTTGGAGCACAGGGCCACGTGATCCACGTAGTCCAGTAGAATGCGAACAACTTGACCAGATAGATGCTTCAGCCAGGAGACGGTGATCACCTCACAGAACTGCACTGACAAGAGTAAAAACAAAAAAGGTCAGAACTGCTCCGCCATTTACCTGCAGACTTCTCTGCAGTGATGTACGGTTAATATTTATATTTTATAGGATTTTTGATGTGTAACTCCCACATGGACCTATAGATCCAATTAATCTGACCTTCCGTATCAGAAAGAACATTGAGATGCCAACCTGTCATGCGTGCTAGATGAAACACCAAAGTCTAGTGACAAATCTCTTCACAACATTAATTTAATTCATTTAACATTTTTATAGTAGTTGAATTGTTTGACATATCTGTCTTGGAGATGCAGGGACCATGATGTTCTTCATCTGGACTCTGACTGTGGTTTACCATAGTATCTCTGATCACAGAGTCACTCCATCCCTCATAGTCATCAGGGAAGTGGGGTTTGTTGCCATAGCGACAAGAAAAGCACTGCTCCACATTGTAACCAAAGTTACACAGCATTCGAAGGACCACCTAAGACACACACACACACACACACCTGAGAAGATGTCAGAATATTGCGTGAATGTGTCACAGAGCAGGGAGGTTTTGCTGGTTTACCTCGTCCTTGAGTGCATACTGCAGAGCTGAGGGGAAGTGTGTTGTGTTTATTCTGCAGAAATAGTTGACATTGGCTCCAAACCTCAGCAGTAAGTGGATCAGCTCATAGTTGCCCAAACGTAGTGCAACCTTAGTGCAACATTCAGTGGGTCATCAACAGTGTTGTTAATGTTGATTTTACACATGAACACATTGTAAACATACACACACACACACCTGCAAACATTTGACAGGATCTTGATTGGCCATGGCTCCAGCCTCCAGCAGCAGTTTGGCTGAAGCCACGTCGTTGTTGGACACTGCAAAGAAGAGAGCCGACTTCCTCTCATCGTCGTAGCTACGCCGAACCCAGGGGTGGAGCATGTAGTTGGGGTCGTAACCAGCCTCCAGCAAGGCCTGATGGGATTTATGGGACAAAAAGGGCTCAGTGTTACATAACTGATCACTGATATGAACAGTGTGGACACTGTGAAAACTTTAAAAACTAACTATGTATTTATTTAAAAAATGTTTTTCTTTTAGCTGATAAATTCCACCTTATTAGCCTAATTCTCCAAAACATACATTTAACATCATTGCAATTGACATATTTGCCCTGACCTTTACTAGAGCCTCAGATAAGAGAATCTTCCTCATTATTAACAAGTTTGCTGTTTATTTTTTTCTTTTTTTTCAAAGATATAAAACATCAAATGGTGAGTCAAGGACCTGGGGCTTTGTAATGAATAAACAAACTGGACTTGAACAAAGAATAAACTGGAGTAGACTGTAGCTAAAAACGATGAAAGGATGAATTTATAGAAAAAATAGAAAAAGCACAGACACACACTTAAACACCTTGATGCAGTGTGTATGTCCTCCTGCAGCAGCAGAGTGTAGTGGACTCATCCCACTGTCAGTTACATCCTCCATTGAAGTTACAGGAATCAGCAGATTCAAGGATCTGAGGAACAAACACATGAAACATGACCTTCTTTGTATGTGAAATGTACCAAGTAACATCTATAGAGTGGACATAAAAACTAAAACTTAGTTTTCTTCTTTTAATTTGCTATCTGAATTGTTTCTGTGTGCTCGTGTATTTACTATAATAATAACACTAGCCCTTCAATCAATGAGCATAACTCTGAGTGAAAATATGATTATTAATGATTTACTCCAGGTGTCCTCGGTGTGCCGTACGGTGGATGGGCATGTGTCCTGTGTGCTTGGCTACGTTGGCATCTGCTCCGTACTCCAGCAGCAGACTGATGACAGCTGGATCTCCGGCTACAGTTGCTTCATACAGGATGGACGCCTCGTCCTGCGCCTGGGACAGGACGTCTGCACCTGCAGTACACAAGTGTGAACAACTTCTCCCACTACTCTCAGGTCAGTCTGTTTATTTTCCACTGCAAAAGCACTGGAGGTGTGGTTGTTGGTGCATTGTAAAAGGTTGGTTGCAATATTCTTGGAGGTGTACAGCTCTGTACAGCAACAGGCCCTGACACCTAAAGTACGGCGTCATCTCCATGACCAATGTCCATGTTCCAATATGTCAAGTTATACATCTGTCCATTAACTTCTTTGGTAGCAATTTAAGTAGCCTACTGCTCCTGGTGCCCAACCTTTTTTGGCTTGTGACCTGATCACCAATTTCAGGCGACCCCAGAGTTTGGTGGCATTTATAATTGTAATTTAAAAAAATAATAACAATTAGGTGCAAAAATATTTTTTTCACTATTTTTTACATCAATTACAAGACATTTCAGGTGACCCCATTTGAATTCCAGGTGACTCCATGTGGGATTGTGACCCTAAGGTTAAAAAAACACTGATCTAACTTTCTCTTTAAAGATAGAACAATGCAACAATTGTTCACCAGTTGTGTGGATGCTGTGGATTTACTTGAGGCCTCCCTGACGTCTCACCTTTCTGCAGAAGAATCTGCACCACCTCCAGGTGTCCACCCTGTGCTGCTAATGCCAGTGGCGTGAGGCCGTAGTGGCTGCGAGGGTCTGGCCATGCTCCGGCATCCAGCAGCTGGTTCACCAGTGCTGCTTTGCCCAGCCGTGAGGCCTCATGAAGGGGCTTGCGTCCGTTGCAGCCCTCCTGGTTCACCCTGGCGCCGTGCTGAAGCAGCAGCTTCACTAGGTCTGAGCGCTCGGAACGTATTGCTGCAGTGAGACACAGTCGGACAGACAGGTGAATTAACCTGTGATTTATGACAGTGGTAGTGGTAGTGCTGAGCAGCTTACCAACAAACAGTGGTGAGTCCTCGTCTTTGTCCTGACAGTCTGTCTGAGATCCATGGCTGAGGAGGAAGGAGACGTTTTCTATCAGACCTTGTTCTACTGCCAGGAAAAGAGGAGTCTGACCTTTATTAGTACGATGCTTTACAGAGTTGGACCCTGAGGCTGAGGACAGAACAGCTGTGTGTCAGGTGTCGGACATATTTATAAATCAGTAATTTGGTATTTATGCAGAATCAAAGTTGTCAGGGGGATACAAACCTTTGTATGTGAACTCCAGGATGGTTTGGTTGCTCTGAGCCGCTGCTGCATGGAGAGGAATCCAACCTTTGCCGTCTGCCTGCAGAAACTTGTCTTTGTATTTGGCACACAGATCCTTCAGGTGCTTCACATTTCCTGCAGACAAAGAGAAATACATCAACTCTCAGCCTTTTGTACTTTGTACTATTCTGTGTGTAACTAGGAATACGTGTGAACACAAGAAAAAACTTTCTTTGGTTAAAGCTCGATGCTGCAGAAGAGCAGCGTCACCTTCCTCACCTTGTCTAATGGCAGTGAAGATGCTGCTGCTCTCTGTTTCTCTAGTGGAAGACGAAAACAGACAGTTTGAAGTGATCCATGTTGCATCATGGACTATAATTTAAAACTTTAATTATATTATTTTTTATTTTCCACTGACCTCCTATCGACTCCAGCTGCACTCTGGCTGTCCTGTTGCCTGCTGCTCTCCACCAGACTCTGTTCTATCATGTGCTGCGTGGCTTCATCGTCTTCGTCATCCACCTCCTCCAGGCCAAATCGCTGAAACTCCATGTTGTCCTAATTAAATGTTTTCACAGCCAGGGGATGAGGAGCTCTACAAGGCCAAAAATGTAGGGACGCTCGCTCCATTCATCAACTGTTGGTTAAAGCTGTCTCAGGTTTATACGACAGGACAGGGCCAAAATTGAATTGTAAGTTCAATATATTTTCAAGAAAATACAGTTCAAGTAAACAACAGTACACAGAGGTTCTTCTTAATTACCTTAAGGTCTGTGTCTGTATTTCCGTCTTCTGATTGTGGAGTCCCTGCTGATTGAATCTGTTGTCGTATGGTTTTTCTAGTGCCTCAGCAGAAATGCAGCTGTTTGTTCTAAAGATTTATCTTTGATAAAAGAAGTCTTAAATTATTAAATTACAAGGAATTCTTTGGTTTTGCAGTGTAGTAACTGCAAAATGTCAGACGGATGTTTTGATCTGCACCCAGAACTCAAACAGTAAAAGTTATGAGGAACAGGACTGTGCTGCTATATTTACACTTGCAGCTAAGTTTATGCAGTCAGCTGATCAGCAGTCACTCTGCACCACTGACCATAGCCAACTTCATACACTGTGTTGTTCTCTTTGAGCTTGTTACACAGACACAAGGAGTATATTTACAGTAGGCTCAAAAGGTATAATTTTGAAACTTAATTAGCATACAAAGATGTGTTTTGTCCAACTACATCCAGTATTAGGTATAAAAACCTTTATTCTAGTTAAGTATTCACTCCAGAGCAGTCATTTTGCCTGAAAACACTGAATCCTCATTGGAAATTTACAGTGCTAGTCTTTTCAACTGCTACAGGCTGCCACAATTGAGGCTCTATTAGATATGTGGTTCCTCTGGGAATTGAACCCAGGACTTTGTTTTTTGCAAGGCAGGCTTGCTAACTGCTACACTGTAGACTACATACAGCATATACAGGGGATGGACAATGAAACTGAAACACCTGGTGACCAAAGGTTTGACTATAGCTGCCCAGCCAAGTATATTGACCCTGTGGAGGCCCTGACGGACAGTTTTGGTGGAAACGAGAGTTGGTTAGCACCCGGATATCCCTTTCAGACAGCTTCCTCTTACGTCCAGTTACTCCTGTTGGATGCGGTTCGTCCTTCTTGGTGGTATGCTGACATTACCCTGGATACCGTGGCTTTTGACACATCACAAAGACTTGCTGTCTAGGTCACAGATGCATCAGCAAGACGTGCACCAACAATTTGTCCTATTTTGAACACTGATATGTCACCCAAGTATTCAACTGTTAGATATACTAGACATTAACACTGTTTTTTGGTCTTGTGTGTTGATTATGTCAAACAAACAGCAGTTCATGCCATTAAATGAATTACAAAATGACAAAACAACCATATTAGTTCAAAATTTCTTTATTTTATTCCTCGCTCCATCTTTTTATGACCTGGGCCTCTCCTTCTTGCCTTTGTAGAGTGCCAGCAGGGACACATTGGCCACTTTGACCACCTTGAAACGAACTCCGGGAATGTCACCGACGGCGTGACCTTTACGTCCAAATCCTGCCACTAGAACCTCATCGTTTTCCTGAAGGTCAGGAGAAAAGGGAAAGAAACATTAAGCCTGGCAGAAACTAAGCCATGATTAAAAAATGCTCCAAATTAATAGTTAATTACACCTGCTAAATCCATTCTCTTTTAGAGTGTATAACGTAGCTTACCTCGATGTAGTTAAGGCAACCGTCATTGGGGACGAATGCGGTGATCTTCTTGCCGTTTTTAATGAGCTGTACTCTCACACATTTCCTGATAGCAGAGTTGGGCTGCTTAGCCTCGACACCTCTGCAGAGGGAAAACAAACCAATTAAGCATCCTGGGTAAAATACTTTAACAATATATAAAAAAAGGGAGACAGGATGTCTTTAAACATACAATTGATTTCCAGTGAGTCTGCAGGGTATTCACTTTGCAGTTTACTTAGATTTATTATTTACAATATTCTGCTTTTGTTATCTTTAGACTAAAGACCCAAGTGTTAAAGAAACTGAGGTTCAGGACCTAAATAGTTGGATGTAAATCAGCATAGTGTAGAAATCATTTGATCAATGGTTCTATAAGTAAAACTTTTACTTACACTTTCTCCAGGACAATGCCTTTGGCATGGGAAGCTCCTCCGAAGGGGTTAGCCTTCAGGGCTGTGCCCAGATGGGCTTTTTTGTACTGTTTATCGTGCCATTTCTGCTCACGACGGTGGTTACGGAGCTTCCTGGCTGTACGCAGACCACGACACTTTCCTGAAAAACATACCAGTAAAACAAAACTATTAGGACAGTCATAGTCCCTTATTACAATGGTTATAACTTATTCATTGAGTCAGCACTTGTCAAACTACCCCAAATTCCTGTTAAATTTTGTTTTATCAACCTAAACAATTAAGACACTTGCCCACAACTAATTATGGATAATGACAGTGTCAACGCCAACACGGGTAATAATAAAGGACATACCCCGACAACAAATCTGCCGTTAATTAATCTTTTCTGACCGAGACAACTTTTTTTTTTATACTAAAAAATGTGTAAATGACTTTTTGGTGTCACTTTAACCGTTCACCGAAAGCCTGTAGCTTTGCATGTGAACTGAGGCCACCGGCTACACGCCGATTATCTGCTAAATAAGTGTAACCTGAGTAATACAAGTATGACTTAGGCTCGATAAACCACAAAAACATCTAGGACAAAACGCTTTTGTTATTCTTACTCAACAAAAGAATAAAATGTTGTGGAGCTCACGCTAGGCTAACAGTGCTAACTCAGACGTATTATGGCCGCCCCACGTTGCGGCGGAAGACCAGGATAAAACGTTAATTCTTTCACAACATTGTGCGTTTTTACTGCTAAAATCTCATCAAAAACAATCCATAACACCTTCATGAAGACCCCGAATGGGTGAAAATTGGTTTAAATAAGAATATTTTCTAATTTTAAGAAGATATTTTACACATACCCATGTTTTCACTAGCGAGCCTGGGACCGAAAGGAAGGATCCAGAGTGCACCGCGGCAATGTCGATTCCGAGGACCCTAACCAAGGTTCCCTTCACTATGTGCCTGATTAAAATATTTTCTTATTATTCTGAAGACATTTATATTCATGTGTCAGCTGTCAAAACTTTATTGTTTATGTTATCGTAACATTTTAAAACGCTGACTTTATTGGATTATAATTTCTGATCGATAAATTAAATAATATATGTACAGTCTAACATGATTTTACGTTAGACTGTACATATATTACGTATTGTATTGTATGTAAGTGTATGTAAGTAAATATCAGCAGAGCAGAAAATGTTATTGTCTGGACCTCTTTTAATGTGTTTATTTAATCGGTGATTTAATAACATTGATTGATTTTAAATTACATTAAAAAAATATTTAACTGTTTTGTTCCCAGTGTTTTTATCATGAATTTTCTTGTTTTCTTTATTTGTGCTACTCCAATGTGCTTGATGCATTTAACTGTCATCCATGTTTCTAAAAAGACGTTTTTTTTGGTAAGTCCAATTAGCTAAAATTAAAGTAATTAAAGCTAAAAGTAATGGATTCCATTACAAATATTACAATCATAAAACATGTTACATATTGAAATAATCTAAAAATAACAAATGTCCACTTAAAACTTAACCTCAAAACATTAAGTTATAAGAGCTTCTAATGCATAACACATCATATTTAAGTTATTGATCAGGAAAGCAATTAAAAAGCAACTAAACTGCCCCAACAATGACACCATACAGGACTCTGTATCCCTTCAAAATTCAATGTAAACAAGCGAACATCAGAGAAGCTGAAGTGATTTTTTCTTGGTTTGTTGTTGGTCGCTGTATCTACTGTGAAAATGATGGTGGCAGCAGCAGCATGCTTTGGAGATGCTTTTTATACATCATTTTCTTTTGTTTTTCTGAAAAGTCCTTTGCTTTAAACACGCTGACCTAAAAATGAGAAAATGTGCCAACACCTTTAGCGACAGATTGGTTTCTCTTAACCCATTTCACCTCTTTCTCCTGCCCATTGGCTGATGCATGAGACCGTTGAAGGGCTTAAGGCCAGTGGGCTGATTAAAGTAGATTACTAGGAGGTGAGGGAAATAGAGCATGTGCTGCCATCGCACTAGGTCACAGCAGTGATGGCTTCAGTGTGGAAATATGCTTGTTTCTCCATCTTCTCTCTGTTCCTCCTTGAACCTTCTACCTGCCTTGACCAACAACCTGGAAAAACAAGGTAAAACAAGACAGGCAGAGAGGCAGAGAAAAGGATGTAAAACAAATGTATGACTCTTGATGTTGATGTTGACCTTACTGACTCTAATCTTTGACTTTTGACGTGTGTTCAGTGTTCAGGTTCAGCTACAGACTGACCAGACACTGGGAATTTCAAAACCGACCTACTATTTTTTAATGTAATTGTATTTTATGATCATGAAGGACATGGAAACACTGAACTCAAACAGAAATGAAAACATTTATTTTGTGACCTTTCATAACTCATTTGAAAAATCTTTAATTTTGAAATGGAAAATTAAATTTGAGTGTGAATGGTATGATGGAACAGTAAATGAACTGCATGTTTTTGATGCAGTTTACATGTTGTTGTCAGCCCTTAAGCAAAGAGTTTGTTTGTTTTTTTTTTACTTTTCACAGCATGAGCATACTGTCCACAGTAAAAGAGGATGAAGCTTCAAAATCTCCATTTGGCTGAGAGCCAACTGATTTTCATGACCTAACTGTATGTGTACAGTATGTGTGTGTGTGTGTGTGTGTGTGTGTGTGTGTGTGATTGTATTCTCTGGTTGTATTCTGAGCATGATCCAAAATCCAAATTTGTGAACCCTAATCCAGTAAATACACAAGTTTATTCTTTTTCTGTTGTTTGGTTGGCCCTGCCTACGGGGCCAAATTAAATGCCGTCCAATATGATGTGTTAGGCACCAACAAGGCTACCACATGAATAAACATGATGTTTTTTAAAAATAATACAGTTCCAGTCAAATTTCAAGCTGCATTGTTGATATGGAGCATTGACAACTTCTTTTCCATATATTTCCAGGATCATATCAATTCAATTAACCAGGGAGGATCATGGATGTTTTACTGTTTAATCCTATGTGTTGTCCATTATTATTAACAAAACCAATTACAAAAGAAAAGGCTGCATATAAGATATGATCTTATTGATTGTAAAAAAACAAACAAAACCTGAACAAATAAGTTCTGTGATGATATTTATGATCTGAATCTTTGATCCCTTCTCTTCACAGGGATGCTGTTTATTCAGTCTCTGATGAGCACCAAGGTAAAACAAAAAGACATTTGGTCTATGGTAGAAGGTAATACGTTAATACATAAGTAAGATAAGTATATGAATAACTAATAATGGACAAGAAGAATAAAGTAAAGATGGATACCTATACATTCAAGTCACATTATTATTATTATGGGTAGTATTCTTAAGATATTTCCATGATGAAACATACTCTAAAAATGTTTGTTTGACTCAGATGACGTGATGACACAGACTGATGCTGGACTGTGGTTGAAGGACAGTTTCGTACCTGCAACCCAACAATTTACTCAAATGCTGCAGGTAAACTGTGCCCTGCTGAAATGAACATTCTATTCATTTTATATCAATGTCAATCAGGCCACTATGTGTCTCAAAAATATTTTAAAATAATTTATCACTTAAATTGGCATATCAACATAATATTTTCCATTAATCCCACCCGCCATCCCCCTCCCCCAGGCTGCTTTCCAGGTTCCAGGTGTTGTACACAGGAAGTTACTTCAAATGCCTGGAGTTGCGGTGCCCTTCTCTCCCCTCAAGGTGGCACAGCTTTTAATATTTAGAAATACTTTCTAAAGTTGGTATAGCTTTATTTTGTGGTGGTTTTTAGATGATCCAATAGAAGGAACGGTGCTCTCATTGTTGTATTAAATGAGCACAAATACATCTCTGGGATTACACATATATGAATTGAATAACTTTGACAAAGAAAGCAGGTTTTATTGGTTTCTCATAATGTACCTATTAAAAATAAGTAATTATCTATTAGTACTATTGCCATTTACCTTCCAGGTGATGTCCAGTGGTCAACCGTGCATCATGTTTCAGGCCAGGAAAGTTGCCCTGAGTTACAGGCAGCAGAAGCAGCTGGACCTGACTGAGCAAGCTTTTTCTCCCCAGAAATCTGTGGACACCAGTCAGTCCATCTGCAGCCACGACAGGGCAACGTATGTCTACCCTTTGAAACTGTTGTTACATATTCCTAGAGCCAGGAGTTTTTCTTCTTTCATTATTTCCTTTTTCACCTTGGGTCAGATATTATAACAAACATAGATTTGACAAAGTCCATACTACAAATTAGAAACAGCACCAGATGAAAACACATTAGGTTTTAAACCAACTGTTCTTCATTGCTGGTGTGAGAAGTTCCTCCAAAGCAGGAGAAGCAAACAATCTGAGACTTAACTGAATAACTAAAGTTTAAAAACCTTCAATGTGTTTCCTCTTTGTTTTGTCTTTCTGTCTGTGTTTCTGTGTTTTTCAAAGGCTCGTCATGAAGTTCGGTGATGTTGAGGATTTAAAAGGCCTGTCCATCAGGTCAGTTCTATCACCTGTCTGCAGCGAGAGTCAAAGGTTATAAAGTAAGCATTTGGTTAGATGTAAAGTTTGACGGGGAAAGTTTGTTCTTACTCCTTCAACGGCAGACTCCAGCTGTCCAACACTTTCTACGAGTCTTCAGGTCAATGGTGGTTTTCTGTGGACAGCATCTCTCTGCTCTTCAACACTACTGGGGAGGCAGTGTTCAATGTCACTGAGGTGTACGCTCCGACCTCCTCTTCCTATCACTGCCTTCATGTCAGCAACCTACAGCGTCACAGTGCTCTGCTGCTGCCCACCAATGACCCCGCCCACCAGTGGACTGTCACCTTCACTGACTTCCAGGTTGACTGGTCTCCAATTTAAATTAGTAGAAGAGTAAAAGAGAAAAGCTAAATTTCCAATCTAATGTGTACTTGTTTTATTACAACAACAAACACCTCCACTTGTGGATGTTAGACAACATACTTTGAGGGCTTCTTAAAAGATTTTCATAGATTCATGTGTTTGTTCTCTCCTCAGATCCAGGCCTTCAACATCACAAGTTCCAAGTTTTCTGCAGCCAGCGACTGTGCCACCTTCCTGACACCAGCCATCCTGATGGGCCTCATCACTTCCCTCATCCTTCTGCTGGTCCTGGCCTATGGCCTGCACATGGTCATCCACCTCAAACACATTGAACACAACGAGGAACAAAAGGCACACATCTATTTCCTTCAAAATGCTGAACAGTCTGACCACGGCTACATGGAAAATGTTAAGGAAAAAAACATTCTATAGTGTCAACACATGTAAACACTATAAGATCGTGGTTTATTTTTTGTTTGTTTGTTTTTTTTCTGGCTTTTTCCGTTTTTTCCAACCTTTGCTAATTGTTACGGAACCACCAATTTTTGGTTCTAAGGGCACCTGGATTTAGTCAAACACAATGATGACATTATGACTGACAGAAATGGAAAATGACACAAGAAAATAATGTTCATAAATCTATCCAAAGACAATATATCCATATGTAAAAGTCTATGACGAGGACACAGAAAAATAAGGAGAACAAAATAGAAATGTTGTTGTTAAAATTGAATTACTACTGTAAACATCAATCACACCTCTCAACACACAAGCACAATTCAACTCCACTGGTTTATAAATAACCCGTCCACACACTTCCTGGTTAATCGGCTGTATTAGACCTACTTTCTGTAAATTGACCTCAACTCTGGCCACAACAGTAACATTTCTCTAGTGCACTGAAACTGCATGGTATGTACATTACAGTTTTGTTGTTTTGTTCATATACATTTCCTCGTTGCATTAAAACAGTCAAAATAGGCAAACAAGGACTTGTATAAACGATAAAATGTCGAATTTTAAAAGTTGACTAAAATCTGCTTATTTTCTGTAGTTCCCCCCATCAAAGCCTATCACTAGGTGGCGCTACAGTACGTAATAGACTGCCCTTGTAACCGGAAGTAAACACCAGAAAAAACCTCCCATGCTGCCTTCAGAAGTGTCCGTAGTTAGCACAAATAACTATTAAATTCCAGGTTTTATGTGGTGTAACAGTTTCCTAGAGGCCGATATATTATGGTTTAATTGGTTTATTTAATCTTTTTTTAGACAGCTACGTGTAAACTACAATCAGTTGTTACGTTATTTTTATTTTCCTCGTGCTACTACTGGCTAATTGTGTAGCGGTCAGCAACAGTACTCCGTGTCACAGCGTTAGTGCTTTATTTTACTGCGCTCTGCTTCTCCTGCCTAAGGGACCTTATGTTTATCCGTTTTCACACTTTTCTCACACTGTCTTCCGGCCGACTGCATATTTTTTCAGCAAGACCTTTAAGCCGAGCCTGGCCGCTCCACAGCAGGATGGAGTCGGCGGTAGTGAGATGTCTCCCCGGGGAGCCCAAACTCACCATCTCCTTTATTTTGGGCGGCAGTCAAAAACACATGCAACGGGACCAGGACGAGCCTCTGGGCAAAGCGCTGACACGGATCTCCCACAACTTCGCCAAGGATCAGAGGAAAGCTAAGAAGTCAAAGAAGCATATGGATCAACAGGCTAGTGAGTCCCCGGAGGTCACCCCGGTCAAGCTCATCTACGAAGGGCACGAGGTTGCGGAGACGGTGCTCAACTCGGATGCTTGGCAGGACGGAGCCGTGCTGCAGGTGGGAGATGTCCAATACTCCATACAAAGAAACGCACCGTCCTTCATCACAGCCGAGCTGCCGGTGTCCATGCTGGCCGATTTTCCCGTCTGCCCTAAACTGGAGATGGAGTTTGGGAACCTGCAAGAGTGCGACTTCTCCTGGTTCAAAGAAAAATGCACGCAGACAAGGTACCTGTTAACAAGAATGTGTAATGTTCATATGGTAATAAATAAAAAACCTGCTGTTCGTTATCATAAAATAGCAGCAGCCAGTTACAACCAAGATAACCTCTTTGGGACATAGGTGAAGACATATAAATATATATTTTTGTTTAAAAAATAACAATTTTCCTTTACTTCTTTTGTAAGCCCTGAAGCTGCTGAGACCGATGCTCCTCAGGATACAGATTGGACTCAGGTAGGAGTTGGGAGAGTCTACGTTCCAACCAATCAGGACATTGGGTGCAGGCTTAAACTGCGGTGCACACCTAAAGATGGAAGTCGCAGCGGCTTGGCCAAAGAGCTGGTCTCTGTTGGAGCAGTGGAGGCTGGACCGGGCATGTGCACGTTTGACAACAGACACATATACACAGTCAAAGAGACGGAGTGGCCGACCATGAGGGTGGTGTCCTACAACATCCTCGCAGATATCTACGCCCAGACAGAGCTGTCTAAGACTGTGCTTTATCCCTACTGTGCTCCCTACGCCCTTCAGCTCGACTACAGGCAGAACCTGATTAAAAAGGAGCTGGCTGGTTATAATGCTGACATCATCTGTCTGCAGGAGGTGGACAAAGGTAATCAGTGAGGAATTATATCACTGAAAAATATATTTATCTAGGTAGACTATGTATGGATTTCCTAAAAATATGCCATAGAATCATGGCGTGTTTATTGCTAAGAGACCTACCAATTGTTTCAGTGAGGTGCTACTAGGACTATTTTGACTCTGTTTTAATATTTCCTGATATTTTCTGCACTTTCCAGGGGTATTTGTGGACAGTCTAATGCCATCTTTGGATGCTTTTGGTCTTGAAGGTGTCTTTAGAGTCAAAGAGAAGCAGCATGAAGGACTGGCCACATTCTATCGCAGGTAAGACTAAGATACATTCTTGATTATCTATAAGTGGATGCATTAAGGGGCTCAGGTTTTTAAAAATTTCTCAGAACAGATGCTATCTTCTCTCCTGGAACTTTTGGAGACTTGGAGAAAAATGCTGCTTTTTTTTTTTTTTTTACTGGATTGACTAAAGTTGTGTTTCTGCTGTGTTAATGAAAAACTTAGTCTAGTTTTTAATGTGGAGTTGGTATGTTGTGCACAAGCCTGATATGTGTAATGGTTGTGAAGAAAAATTGCCCTGTAATTAAAAAACTGCACATTCAGTGAAACTCTCAACTCCACTCTGTCCTGCTTGTTTGTATAAACCCTCACAAGTTGTGTATTTTTTTTAATGTTCTATTTGCTGGTGAGTGATTTTACTGTACACAAAAAACTTGATAAATAGATTTGGAGGTATTTGATAAATTTAATTTCATGTGTTTTAGGTCAAAATTTCAGTGTTTGAGCAGCCATGACATCATGCTCAGTGAGGTCTTGACCTCTGACCCCATTCATTCAGAGCTGCTGGAGATGATTTCTAAGAACAGTGTCCTGAAGGACAAGATCCTGCAGAGATCAACCACACTGCAGGTGAGATCAGCTGATGTAATCTTACAATGTAAAAAAAAATGCTGCAAAAATGCTTCTAAAGGTTTGTGTGTGTGTTGTAATATATTATCAGAGTCAAAAGATCTTTTAGACAGTAGCTTCAGATCATTTATATCAACAAGACGTTTTTTTCAGGTCACTTTGCTTGAGGATGTGAGAAGACCAGATAGGAAGATTCTTATTGCCAACACTCACCTGTACTGGCACCCAAAAGGTAAAAAACACTAATTGTAAATGTATAGAAACCTCAGTCTCTGTTTTAATCAAACTAACTCTAATCCTATGAGCAAACAGGAAATATAAACACTTTCTTCCAAAGGTGGGAATGTCCGCTTGGTTCAGATGGGCGTGGCTCTCAAACACCTAAATCATGTGAAGGCGGCAATCGCACCTGAAGCTCCTTTAATTTTCTGTGGAGACTTCAACTCCTCCCCTGACTCTGGTGAGTTTGCGTCTGAGGGCCTGGCCACTTTAGTGCCAGCCTTAAAAGTCTAAGAGTTTATTGTGTAAAATAAGAATTTATTACATTGATCTGCTCTGGTGCAGAGGTATCAGCGTGTTGCTCTTTCCTCTGTCCTCAGGTGTGTTCCAGCTGGTCACAGAGTCTCTGATTCCACAGCAGCACCCAGACTGGAGTAGCTCAGAGCCAGAGGAGTCATGCAGGATGAAGCTGATCTCTGGCTTTCCTCCGATGCTGAGTGCCTGTGGTCGACTGGCTTACACCAACTATGTGGGCGGATTTCACGGCTGCCTGGATTATATCTTCCTCCAACCCGAAAGCATGCAGGTACTAGTACTCACACCTGACCAGTTCCATACTATGTAATCTTTTTTCATGTTTTGTAGGTTAAAATTTGGCTTTTTCTACTTCAGAATACCACTGTAAATGTTTCACAAGCATTTCAGAAAATAATTGGGATGTTTAATTTGCATGTTTAAATCTGATGTTTATTTTGTGTTCACAGTAGCTTATTTAAAGAAGAAGAGCTTTACATAGAATCTTTTTGTAGTCATGGGTGAAGTTCCGGTATTTCTTTTGATTAAAAAAATTATATTGTTTTCGAATAACTAACAGACCAGCATTTTTCTTTGTTTATGTGTAAAGGTGGAGCAGATGATTCCTCTGCCTACCCATCAGGAGGTCACCACCTATGAGGCTTTGCCCAGTGTGGCTCATCCCTCTGACCACATTGCCCTTGTCTGTGACCTGCACTGGAGCCCCTAACCTCTGACCTATAATTTCCAGACACCTGGATGTAAGATGGCAGAAAAAACCCCAGTCTTACTTTTTTATTTATATTTTAATGAAATCAGAGTGTGAGAACAGAATCCCCCATCTTTGGAGGAAATTTATGAATTATGGACTGTCAATGAACAACACAAGTCAATGTTGTTGTAACTAAACATTATTTATGAGTCCATTATATAAAACAATATTTTTATCACTGATATTTAGTGATGAATTAATAAAATATGATTTAACGGATTGTATAGTCCTGTGTTTTTTAGTTAAACAGTATTTATTTTGAGTTCAGAGCATTTAGATATCTAATGCTATTATTATTGGGAATTATAGTCAATTCATTGTATAAACTGTATTTGATGGGTGCGGACATCCGCCTACCATCGCCACGCTGTTTTTCTCTCATTGGGCAGAAGGGAAGGGGAGGCGGAGCCAGTGCGGAACTTCCCACTCGGTCATAATTGAGGGGAGTAAAGAAAGTTTATATTTACGATAAATCAACCGTGCATATATGAAAACAATACTGTATTTATATTATATTATTAAAAGTCTTTGAATTCAAAATGTTTACCGTTTTTTGTTTAAATTTTTTCAACGGCTGTCGTTTTTTTAAAGAGTCACCGGATTTCAACATAAAGGAGTCAGTTAGATTCAAACCGGAAACGACTGCGTCGCTCTCAGTATAAAAGCACGGTAACATTTTCTGTTTACATTTTGGACTAAGCAAACCTATGTTATTCATATATTACATCATGGTGTATCTAATTGACATTAGAATTGAATCAGACGTTAGCCAATTATCGACCTATTAACATAGTTTGCAATATTTTACACCGTGTTTCCTTCTAATACTAATACACATTCTGAAAATAGTACAGGCGAACCCGTTTTATTTTGAAACTTTAAGCCGGATGTTGTCTGTCCCATCGGCTCGGCTTTAAACGCTCTTACGTGTCATTCTGAGTTTGAGTTAGAAATCTCTTGGACACGTTTGACCAACAAATTCTCTGTAAGTTTTATTTAATTTTTTGCTTCAGTTACACATTGACGAAAAAGCCAGTTTTCACTCTCCTGTAAATTGACGCTGTTTAATTTTATTGTTGTCAATTCATTCATGTAATGTTAGCCCCTGTGGCTAACGTCAGCTAGTTAGACTCGCTGGTGAAACAGAAACCATATCTTGAGTTCACTGTGTATTTAATCTAAAAATATCGGTTTTCAAGCAGACACTCATCTCAGTATACACTACATCTATTTTATACATTGTTACATTTAATGTTTAGGAAAGCCTCCGAATGACTTTTGAATTTTATTAGAGATGCATTCACATGTTATCACTGTATTGTTACTGGAGTAGTCATCAGATATATTACATTCTTTACTTATGATTATCGTACTTTTATTAATTATGTACTTTACTAATTAGCCAGCAATTGCTTTTATATAATACAATATTACTACTGTCTTAAACAAATATTCAGGAACTATTTTTCCTGGGTCACCACACCTTCGTTGATGTAATTATGATCTTGTTTATTCACCTGTAATGTTAGCAAAGTAAGTCACCTTTTCAGCAACTGATGTTTACCTTATAGTCTGGTTGTGCATAGGTGCAGAAAGATCAGATGTCATTATGGAATTCCTTCCATTCCATTGAAAGTACACCACATACGCAAACATAGTTTGTATCAAAGTAATACTTGAATCAAAAGTAAGAATGATTGACGCATGTCCTGTATTAGACATGCAGTCATGTCAGCTTCTGTTCTCTGGTGCTTCTGGTTTAGGTTTTGATATTGATGAGCTGCAGTCGCCCAGCCCTAACTTATTAGAAGTATGAAGGCATTGATCCTGGTGGGAGGGTATGGGACGCGGCTGCGCCCACTCACTCTGAGTGTTCCCAAACCTCTGGTGGAGTTCTGCAATAAACCCATCCTGCTTCACCAGGTTGAGGCACTGGTAAAGGTAAGAGAAGACTGTGACTATTTGCCCTCCTGTCTTTATGGTCTTCAAGTGACTTGAACTGTCTGTTCATACAGGCTGGAGTGAAGCATGTGGTTTTAGCAGTGAGCTACATGTCAGAGCTGCTGGAGAGAGAGATGAGAGTCCAGGAACAGAGGGTATGTACGACACTACGAAAACATGTCAGCAGAAACAAAACACAAGACATTTTTTATAGTTCAAGCCACAAGACATTTGTGTGCTTTTAAATAAATCCTAGCTTTTTTATGTTGAAAAACATCACGTACATGAAATTAATTTGTTCTGAGACTTGAACAGTGATTTTTCTGCTCTTCTCTCTTCAGCTTGGGATTCGTATCTCCCTCTCTCATGAGAAAGAGCCTCTGGGTACAGGTGAGGTTCTGCCTATCACAGAGGGGGTGGGGGGATGAATAACATTAAAAGATCCCAGCTGTTCGAGACTGTCACTTTACTGCACATTTAAAGAATTATCCCATGTTAAGTTATGATGTTAGTATTGTCCAAATAAGATATTTACATGAGAGATTATTATCACAGATGTGACTGGATTTATCTGAATATATGTCATGAACTTGACACTTATTTCTGTCTCCTCTTAATGTGCGTGTGCGTCTGTGTGTGTGTAGCTGGTCCCCTGGCTTTGGCTCGGGAGCTGCTAGATGTGGACAATGAGCCTTTTTTTGTCCTCAATTCGGACGTCATCTGTGACTTTCCTTTCAAAGATCTTCTGCAGTTTCATCAAAACCATGGGAATGAGGGAACAATTGTGGTGAGAGACAGAGATAATTTGAATTATTTTATTTATTTAAGGGTTAAGGCTCTGTCTGAATAAAAACATGTAACATAATTTAACAGGATTAAATAAATAGAAAGAATACATTTTGTTTGTTTTTATGGAATTTAAGTCAGTTTCTTTTTGCAAAAAAAACTCAAGGTCATGTAATGTTATGACGCTGGTAAAGCGTAGTTTTGACTTAGTGTCTGTGTGTTTATGTATGTGTGTCTGTGTGTGTGTTCAAGGTAACGCGAGTGGAGGAACCTTCTAAATATGGTGTGGTGGTGTTTGAGGCAGAAAGTGGTCGTATCCAACGCTTTGTGGAGAAGCCTCAGGTCTTTGTTTCAAATAAAATCAACGCCGGCATATACATTTTCAACCCCAGCATGCTCAGCAGAATCCAGGTGAGACACACACACACACACACACACCAAGAGCCTCCTTCACACTGTTTTGTTAGCAATTGAGTTAAAGATATCAAGGATCATCTTCCAACTTTTGAAATAATACGTAATATTAAAATGAAGTCAGTTAAAGTTAAAAAAAACTAGTGAGGACACCGGAGAGAATAGAGGCGTCTAGATTTCCTTTGTGTTACTGCTGTAATTTACTTGATTTTTTTTTCCTCCTCTGCAGCTGAGACCCACATCTATAGAAAAAGAGATTTTTCCTTTCATGGCCGAGGAGGGGCAGCTGTATGCCATGGAGCTGCAGGGTAAATGTAATGACACAGTCAAATGAACACTGCTCAAAACTCTGACCGACAGACCAACGAAATTAAAGAGGTAGACTTGATTGCTCATCAGCACAACCAGAGCTTCTAAACATGCAGATTTGTGGGTTCAATTCCACCTCGAGTCCACATCCATGTTCTGTTGTGTCCTGTGTAAGGGCTCTGCCTAAATCACTGTCGCCAACCACTGTGACACTGGATTGAGTGACAAGCTGAAAGTGATTCTTCTTCTGTCAAATTACATTTTATTGAATTACATTGAGTTTTGGTCCCAAAAAAGAAAAATGGTGTGAAAATGTAGTTGCATTCTGACTGCAGGGATGATGTAACTGTTGCTCTCAAATGACAGTGAAAAAATAACAGCTTCTGCATGACAGGATTGATTGGACATGGCTGCCGAATTCTTGGCTTGGTTCTTGGCTTAGAACAGAGTGTGCTTTTGTTACTTGCCAAAAAACAAACTGATTTATCTTATTATATATTACCTTGAGTATTTAAACAAAAGAAATTATATCATGAAATCATAACAGGTATGTGTGATGGATGATTAACCCCCTATATTTAAGGCTTAAGGCTTACAATGGCATCTTTAATGTGACTGCAATTAACTTTGATCTCTGCAGCAAACAGCTCATCCAGACATAAGTGCTTTGTCTTTATAGCTGAACTTGTAGTTTTGGATTCCAGTGTAGAGATGTATAGAACCAAACAGTCTTGAAGAACCAACTTTGAATCTCCTGGTTGCAAATATACATGCAAGCATTGAGTTGAATGGAAAAAGTGAATCCTCATTAGTGTTTCTGTGCTGCTTCAGTTCCTCAGCCCTCATTTAAAGACATTAGCTTCCTCCGAAACAGTGTTAACCTCATGTTCAAACCCTCCAGTTTGGTAGAAAATCCTTTTATCCTGTCCTTCAGAACAAACCGACTGTTTTGACTCAGTAGCTATGATTACAGCAGCAAAATTTTCATTCACTATAAAATTAATTATTTATTACCTTGTTTATCTGGGAATACAATACGACAATCTCTGTATGATGGGTGCACGCATGCATGAAGTATTGAATTAAAATAATAGGAAAACGCTTCACCTGATGATGATGATGATGATGATGATGGAGAGGAAACTTCTATAAAGTCTATGTAAACATAGCTACTGACTCCTGTTAACCCTGTGTCCTTTTTTCCTCAGTCTGACTTTAAGACACGGCTAAAAGAAAACTTTTAATCTTTCCCTTTTTAAATGTAGTAAATCAACAGTGATTTTTTTTTCTGGCTAATGTCAGATATCTTTATTAAGAACTTCACCATGAGTTTAGGAGCAAAAGTGTCGTCCGTGAAGCCCAAACATTACTAATCCAAAATTAATTAAATGGAAGATTTAATCAACAGGGTTAGTTTAATTTAGTAGACTCATAAATTACCTGCTGCCATTACCCCCACATACCAGGCAGTTAACGGGTAGTGTTATAGCCTTTATGTCTGTTTGGTTCTAGTGTAAATAAATGTAGAACACAGAGAACCCTTCAGGTTCCGTGTCCACATCCCTGTCTCAGTGGTTTATTGTCTGTCTGCAGGGTTCTGGATGGACATCGGTCAGCCCAAAGACTTCCTGACAGGGATGTGTATGTACCTTCAGTCGCTACGACAACAAGCTCCTGAGAGGCTTCACACTGGACCCGGTTTTCTCGGCAACGTTCTCGTGGTGGGTGCAGTTCCTCCTCTCTTTGAAACCTCTGTCAGTGGAGAGAATTTCCATTCAAATTCGACCTCATCTTCTGTCTTCTGTCTGTTTTTTTTTTGCCCTGCAGGACCCAACTGCCCAGATCGGGGAAAACTGCACCATCGGACCCAATGTAACCATCGGCGCCGACGTAGTTGTAGAGGATGGCGTCAGGATAAAACGTTGCACCGTGCTGAAGGGGTCGCGGGTTCGATCACACTCATGGCTGGAGAGCTGCATCGTGGGGTGGCGCTCTACTGTCGGGCAGTGGGTGAGTGCAGGAGGATGACATGTAACAGGATGACATCAGTTCAATAATGACAAGAGTTGCTTTTTATCAAACGTACAGTCCAGTAAGTGTTTGTGTACTGGTGTGAAAACATGGTTTATTTAAGAAAATGTGTCAAAAACACAAATTTAATGATGGATTTCATTGGCTACACTTCATAGATGTTATTTAATTCGCATACAACACAGCGGAATAATGTTAAACCTACAGTCAACAGGAAAGGCCTCCAGCTTAGTACTTAGACCTTATAGTGCTCCTCACAGTTTTAAGGTACTACTACTTCATACTGTTGGTAATTCAATCAGAACTTAAAACATCTCTAAAACTAACTTTGAAGCACCACTATGTCAAACAGCAGTCACTAACTTTCTGAATAAAACACTCCAAGGCATTGGTTCTCAACATGAGGTGCAGGTATCACCAAGCGTCTTGAGTCTTGAATTTAAAAGGTTGGGATGGCTCGATACATCTTTTTCATGTATGATATCAATACCAATACTGCAATTTGAAGTATCGGTTGGACTATAGCTGTTTTTTTTATGTTCGCTCCTGAAAGTTTGACCAACATTAAAATGATACAGATCCAGAGTTTTGGATCGAGCCATCCCTGAAAAGATGTGAATGTGTGGACACCGGGGACGACAGCCGGCCTGTCGACAAATGGAAGCTTGTTTGTGAACTGTTGGTGTATGTTGTCTCATGCTGTGTTTAGTTTCTGACGACGATTCCTGTCTGCGTTTACGCCCGTTGTCAGGTTCGTATGGAGAATGTGACGGTGCTGGGGGAGGATGTGATCGTGAACGATGAACTTTACCTCAACGGCGCCAATGTCTTGCCTCACAAATCCATCAACGAGTCCGTTCCCGACCCCAGGATCATCATGTAGCACGGGATAGAGGTGGAAGATCAGTGTCCATTTTTATTGTTACTGAACTCAAACCGATGCCCAAACTGTGCCAGGGGAAAAAAGAGGGAGAATGGGTTGAACAAGGAAGTTGAGGGGGAGAGGAAAGGAGTCAAGAAGAAGAAAAAGGCCTTTTTCATTAGATATTGTTAATTCTGTGGGGGTTTTTGGCCCTATTTTGCTGTCCCTCTATACAGTCCGACTTGATGAGATAAGCACGAGTGTGATGTCATCAAGCGACTCAGATCCTCAAACTATTCTGAAAATTACAATACAGAAACAGGTCTGTATTTGAAGAAGTGCACACATCAGCACACTGTACTAAAGGCTCCTAGAGATTCTTTAATACCAAAAAGCAACATTTCAATCCGGGGAACAATGATCTGGCTTCAGCTAATCATGACTGTTTCTTTCCGAGGTTTTAGTTGCACACTTCATCCTGTCTGGCCTCTCTGGACTGGTCTATCTGAGCTGGTGAAAGGACTAATCTTTGTATTTAGGGCGAATCATGGTTAAAGATCACTGCTTCTTATATTCACTATGCATTTCCTGTGTCTGAACATCTATAGACACTGGGTAAACTGGAAGGAAATCACTGCACTAGGAGACACATGGACACTGAAACAATGACTGAGACTTCTGATCTGATCAATTTAACTCTATGCAGTATAGTCTATAGTTGTGGTGCACTTGAAGCAGCTTAAACAGCTGTAACGCAGAGTCTGGATTAGTTTAACCGTATAGCAATGTTTTGTTGATTGCAGTTAGCTTGAGTGCAGCCTTCACTGACATCATCAGGTTGGCATTGTGTTCTTTGGTTCATTGATGAAATGTCATTTTTAATCATTGAATGGCTCATTGTTTCTTGTTGCCAAACAGTTTACTGTTCTAAAGTGTATACATATAGTAAGGTTTTACTTTTTTAAACATGTCTTTTACAAATGGTACTTGTACATCTCACACTGTCTACATCAAACTGTCAGACGCAGCGTTTTCCACTAGGTGGCAGCAGATGGATGTAAAAGTTAAAAAAAAGATTCTTATAGGTATTGCAGAAAATGTACTTTCTTCAATTCCTGTGAGGGTTGTGTTCAACTAAACAGGTTTCACACTGAGGACGTAAATAGGAACTACCAAAACATTATATTTCATTACATATAATTTTGGTGACAATTTAATGTGGTGGGGCGTTGTGAGATGTTGGGAAACACTAGTTAGGCTAATGGACAGATGATTCACTAAGAACAAGTGGTGTGTATTTCTTAACCATAAATAACTGCAGGAGAAGGCTGGATCTTAACCTTTAATATTTTCCTTATTGTGATGTCACCAACTGAGGTTATGTCAAAGATGTCTGAGAGAAGGGAACGAAAAGCTGATTGTTTTTGACTCAAATATGGAGTCCAGGTGTGAAAGGTTTTTACCTTCTGTTATTGATATGAGCTGTGCATAATGACATACAGCACTGAGTACATGGTAAGGAATCTTTGGGTTGATTTGTGATGATGAAAAAGATCAGAATACTGAGCATGTGAAGACCTACGTGTCTGGGTGAATGAAGTAAATTCTTATGATCAAGTTGTTGTTTTTTTAAAGAAAATAATATAAATTACTCATTGATATCATCTGTCTTGTCTTTTTTGCATTATGTTGCTGTGCATGCAAAAATATCTTTGCATGTGAATAAGAATGAAACGTTGAGAAGATGTTAGTGTTTGAATGGATTGTGAGAAACGTGGTTTCAAGTCAAACTACAGCTGCAGTTAGAATTCAGTGTTTCTGTAGTTTTCTTTTTAGCCGCCTATTACATTTTGAAGCATTTGGTCATTTTTAATATGAATAAAAAACTGTGTTTAGAGTTTAAGATTTAAAAACGTTTATTTTGGGCTTAATTATACTCCTGAAAATTATTTAAATATTGAGCATTCTAAGTTGTTTTGCTTCATCTCTCAGTGCCATAGAAAAGTGAATTATCCAGCAGGGGGTAGTGTTGCTATGTGATGTTTTCCTCGTGGAGAATGAAACGTGTTCATTCATCTGGTACAGAGGAGAGGCCTGAGTTCTCCTACTGCTGTTTCATGGTATGTATGTGTATATATATATATAACAACATATATATGTTTTTGTCTTGCACAAAAATTGAACCAAATGTTTGAACCAAATCTTTGATTCTTGTTTTAATATTGTCTGATTTACACATGTATTTCGGACACATGCTGTTTATACCAGTTTCTAAGACAGGAAATGACAGGATAATTATTGGAGGTGACAGATGACAGGTTTGAATGAATGAGCAGATCAAAGGAACAGTTTGGACCTAATTTCCAAGAGGCGAAGACTTGGACATGAGCTGATGTGAGACAATGTACAGTGAATGTTGAAGCTGGAGCTGCAAGGCAGTTGGAAAATAGGTAGATCCAAAAAAAGTATAATGGAAATGGTTGGTGTAACAGTAGTTGTTAGTCAGTGACCAGTGATGGAGTCCAAACACAAGGGTCACATAAGTACATAACTTTATCTGACATGTTTTTAGGGACAGTGATTAATTGAAAGAAATGTGCTTAAGTTTTCTTAAAGTGCTGCATGAAGTTCACAGATTTGAGAAAGATCTAGTACATAAGTACATAAATCTATAGTACAGAGAGTGGTGGAGTTTTGTGTTTTTTATTTTTTGTTGTTGTTGTTGTTGTTTCTTTGCATAAGTGATGTCTCTCTGTCCTTCTTGGCTCTGTGGTCTTCATTCTTCTCAGCAACCGAAAAACCAAAGAATGAACGGAAAAGGAGGAGGACGAGTAGAGGGAGGAAGAGGAGGAGATCTCACTGATATTTTTATTGGCTGAGCTTTTTTTCAAAGTGTTTTCTGATTGGCTGGTAGTGTGAAAGTAGGGAATCCCACAGGTTTTTTTTCTGCCTCAGTCTCAGGTTTTAACCACAGTCAGAGTCACGTTCAGTCCTGGTCCTACTTGACCAGGTAGCCTCAAGTCAGCAGTGATCCAAGAGCAGCAGTTCTGACTGTTCAGCTGCTGTTTCAACATCAACTCTGACCTGATTATTGTTTTCCCTGTCTGTTAAAACCAGGTCTAGAGTTGTTACATCACAGGTACCTGTAGAATTCACCAAAGTGGAGAGAAGTCAGTACCACGTGAACAAAGAAACTCCTGTTTGACTGGAAGGCTAGAATAAAAATCACATTCCCTTCAGCGGCATGTTGGAGCAAATTCAGGAGGTGAAGAAACCTGCTGAGAGTAATTTAGAGGGTGGAGACGGGAAGTATATTTTTTTAGTTGGAAGTTTACAGCAGTATAAAAGGGGAAAAAAGAGGGGAAAAAAGAATAATTGTTAAAGTGCAGAGTGTGAACAGGGATTTGCAGTGAGCGTTGATGTTGCCGGGCAGGAATGAAGATGAAAGTCTAGACAGTTGTGGAGGGCTGGTGGAGCTGAGGGGCAGCAGGAGCGACCGTGGGCGGGGAGAGAGGAAGTTTGGTCAACAGGAGAGGAATTTAAAGTCCCATTGTTCTGGAGGAGCAGAGGCAGAGAGGAGTGAGGAGCTGAGGAGTCCGATCGCTGACAGACGCTGGACACCATGGACATGAGTGCAGCTATGGCAAAGGTAGGAGACACACCTTCACACTGATGTATTTCACCTGGACGTCTTCAGGTGGAGTCATCTATGAAGTGAAGTTAACTTCCTGTTATTATATGTTCAGATGCTTTTTAAGATGATATTCAGAACTCAGTGATATTTATTTTGGATTATTTTATTTTAAGGAAAAAACTGTTTGATTTCTGCTTTAAAAAGGTATGATGATATGAGGATCACTCAGCCAGTTTCTGATGAATGAATGACCGGACGAATAAATGAATGAAATATGACTGGTGATTATAGATAAACAACAGATTAAGTAACAACATTTGTCATTACTTCCATCCATGACGTTTCTGTTTTTTCTTGTCTATGTTCTCTCCTTTAACTCTCTTAAAGTGGGGGGGGGGGGGGCTATAAACACAGGTGATTACCTAAACACAGGTGATTACCTAAACACAGGTGATTACCTGTGTTTATAGCTACCTGGTTATTGTTTGATGTAAATCTAATCTTGTAGCTAAATCAAATCTGAAAATGTATAGAATTGACCTTTAACTTGTTGCTACGATAAAATTGATGGGCAGGAGAGGACTTGGCTCCAAACCTTGACCCTCTTCTCAACATGACTCACTGTCAAATGCAAAGGCCCTCTATTTGATATTTTACTGTCAATTACATTTTTTGGGGTTAGGTCTAGATAACTCTCCTGGGCTGATCCTAATCCACTTTCTAATTCAGTCCATGAAACTAATCCTGGACTTGCCAAAACACTGCCTCCTCTGACGGTCATTTGTCTCCCACAAATTTCTCACTAATTCAGCCTCTGGTCTTTTGTGCAAAGGTCACAGCAGACTGAAGCAGATAATGTGGGGCATCAATGTCACCTGTCCAGGGTTTGATCCCCTCGTCCTGCTCCTTTCTCTGCTGATGGAAAATCTGTCATCACCTGGATGAAAATAAACATTGGCACACACACACGCAAACTCACAGAGCAACAGGCATCACTCACTGCTGTTTACACCATAAACGCTGTCCGGTGAAAATGAGTAAAAATTAAAAATCACAATTTCCTCTCGAGGTTCTTGAGTAAAGATCTGTGTGATGCTGCAGACAAACCTGGTCCAACAGAAAAGTCTGGCCCCACTCTGGCAGCTTGGTTTCGTTATTAGAAAAAGGCTCTTGAGTAACAGAAGCGTTCAGTGGTTTTGAGTTTGGGAGTTTGGTCCTCGGCTCATTATTTTCCATTTAACTGAAGGGCGGTTGCAGAAGTTTTTTTTTATTAGGATCTATGAGAAAGTACATGAGAAACACCAGTCGTCTGTGACACTTGGGTTTAGAAGAACAGGAAATATCAGGGATGCAGACTGTGAAGGTCTGGGCACAGACTTGGACTGGATCTGTTGGAGCAGGTTGAACTCACTGCTCTTTGACCTCCAGTCTCTTATCTCACAGTGTTTCCTGCAGTTTTGCATAGCCGACATGTTTGGAGTCACCCGGCCAAGTGTGATTTAACATACTCATCTAATCTGACCTCTAAATATAGAACGGCCGCATGTTAATCTCTGTCAGAATGAACCTTTCCAGTGAAACTTATTCAACTCTATGGGAGTCAATGTATTTGTCAAAGAATTCAATTATAACAATAAAAAAGTCGCAGTGCTTGTAAATTCTATTTTAATATGTCTGTGAACAGACAAAAGATGAATTATTAGTGTTCAATTTATTTTTTTATTAGACTAACTCCATGTAATTAATGACAGGATTCAACAGTATGTGACTCAAATCTGCTTAAATTGGTAATGAGAAACTGAATGTGTTGATGCTCAAAGAACCGGATCAAATGTGTAGTGACATCATCATGACCTAATTTGGAAACAGATGTTACACCTTTGGCATCACCTTATTTTGTATTTGGTTTAACTTTTGAGTAATGTCTGGTGCCACAGTGACTCAGAGGCTCCTCCCACCAGTCAGTTACTGAGTCACACACAGTAGTTCATTCACATTTAGTGAATCAATGGAAAAACAGTAGCTTCAGTTTACAGCTCCCTGGGTCAAAAACATTTGGATTTATTTGGATTAGTCCTTACCTTTAATGATGCCAGGAAAACAAAACCAAAAAAGAACTTTAACTTAGAACACAAACTTTCACATTTAAAAAAATATATATAAACAACGTTGTTGTTTTTTTTCTGTACACAGTAAACAGAGGCAGGATTCTTCTCATTAACAACACACACAGTCACTGAATTCCCACCTGGCAGCAGTCAGAGGCAGCCGTCAACACAAAGTGTGGACTGAACATGTGTCCAACAGTGTATCCACAGGGACATTATGAAGTCCTCAGCTGTTTGCAGTCCAACTGTCATCACTGTGACCTTTTCAACACCTAATCCCACTCCTCTGTTGTCAACCGCTAATGACCTGCTCTGGTACAATGACTTCTGAACCATTTCAGGCAGATGGACACTTTTACCCAGACTACACTGGGACCTGACACTGAATATGAATTCATTGTTGGGAGTGGACCTTTGTCCCAGCAGCCACAGTGTGTAGCCTTGTACACCTAGGGTGTGTGTGTGTTGACTGTCCTGCCTGCAGTCCAGACCTGTGTCCTCATTAGTGTGTCATCAGGAAGTAAATCAATGGTGAACTCACCTTTGTCTGAACCTGAGTGTGCTGAATGGAACAATTTCCGAAGAAGTTCACGTTTAACACATATGTTTGTTATTGTGAAGGCATTTCTTTATTTTTTTGGCCTAATAATATGAGATTCAAGTGCATTGGCTGAGAGTGCGGACTAAATGACATTCCTGGTGTCTCTGATATAAATACAACCAGAATAGTCACGGTTTTGCTGGTCCCAGTCTTTTTAGGTTGGGGTTTGAATTTCTGTCTGTTCCCACCCTCGAGCCACAGCTGTGGTTTATAAATGTTTAACAATGCAGAGCCAATAAGATCCCTTAAAAAAACACCAAGTATTTGAATTGGAGATGCGTTGGAACAGTGTTGGCAGCTCCTTACCTGCCACCAGCTCGTGTGGTGCTCATCTTCTATAAATATCAAATATTTTCATTGCATATAAAGATCTTTCTGAGCAGAGACAGGACTGTTGATACCTTGTTGACAGTTGGACAGATGGACAGTCCATTTGTCTGTCAGACAGAAAGACACCAGCTGTTTTAGTGTGGTCAGGTTTCCTGCCAGGTACACACACACACACACACACACACACACACACAGTCTGGCTCTCATGAGTTGTGAGGACTTCACATAGATATAATCCCTAACCACTGACACAAGGATGAGACACACACACACACACACACAGTTGTTTGTGTTTGGACTCTACGATGACTATTATTGCTATTATTATACTACTGTATTATAGAGTTTTACCACCTTGTTATTTTAAAAGACAGCAAGAGAGAAATGGACAGTGTGACAGACAGGGAGGACAAATGAGGTGATGGAAATTTAAAAGAAAACAAAAAACAAGATTTGTCATCAATGATTACTGGACATCACTGTGAGATCATCAGTGAGTTCATCCACCCTGTGTGTGTGTGCACATGTGAGACAGTATGTGTGTGTGCATATACACATACACACCCTGTTCTTCCTCCCGTTCTCACAAAGAATTCTCTGTCTCGACCAGAACTTCCTCCCATCTATCATCATATGTGACCCACTCTGTAACTTTCTTTCTTTTTGCATTTTTTTCCTCTATCACCAAAACAATGACTCAATAATAATAACAAAATAATAAAAATAGTTTTTAATACATTTATTTTGAACTTTTTTCTTTGCGTGAACACAAAAAGAAATAGTTTTTGAGGTTTTTGAGATATATTATTTACAAAAGTTGAAAGAACTCTGACACCCTGTCATCCTTGCTTCAAACAAAATTGTGAATTCAAACACTGAGCGACCTTTGACCTCTTGCAGTCTGTATTTGGTTAAAAACAGCTGTATCTGATGTCCATCTTTGTGTTTCTGCTGACTTCTCTTTTATTCTGCCTCCTCCCAGATGTCCGTGAAACAGAGCGCAGGAGGAGAAGCGGTCTGTCTCATATGTAAAGAGGGCTGCTCTGGATTTCAGCCGCATTCTTGGAGGTAAAAGCAGTTTTTTAAAATGATTATAATTGCATAAAGAAATAAAACCAAAGAAGCTCTGAGGCTAGATGCTGTCCCAGCGTTCTTTTATTCAGCGTTCTTTTTCATTCCTTTATTTAACAAAAACAAGTAGTGAAGAGTGTTCAGTCGGCTCAGATTAAAATCTTACATTTTAAATTTTCATGAAACCTCCGCACCTCCACAGGAAAGCCTGTACGGCCTGTGGCTGCAGCACAGTGGACCACATTCCTGGTGGTGACCTTGAAGATGACCAGCACATGGGACGCCTGCTCTCTGAGTCGCCCTGCTCCCACCTAACTGCAAAGGTCAAAGGAGGTGGTGGCCTTCGCATGTACAAACGCAACCGCATGATTGTGACCAATCCCGTGGTGTCGCGCAAAGACCCCACATTCAGCACCACAACCTACGACTGGGCACCCGCCGGACTCAACCAGAAACTGGTGAGCGGCAGATAATTGTTGTGGTGCATATTTGTTTTGATAGGCGTCATTTGGACCAATCTAACCTTAATAACAACAGAAATGATGAATCAGTGAAGTGGTTAACAAACAGCCAGTGGTTTTTATAGCCCAATGTCTCACATGTTTTGTAGTGTATCTGAGATTTTCCTATTGTATTCTCTATTCTATTTGAAATATCTATTACTATATATGCATATTATATGTTTCTATAAAGCCAATAATCAGAATCAGAATGACTTGATCTGGAATTACAAACAAACTCCTGATGGAAATGAAAGGTATCTCAGCATATGTGAACTATGATACTAGTAGAAAGAGAGTATAAATGCAGGAAAATGTCAATAGCAGCCTAATATTTACAACAGGGTCACTGACACCAGGGGGCACTGGACATCCAAATGAAAAAAGAAATAAAATCGCAATTTTGTGAGACTGTATTTTAAACAGTCATAAATGATGGGGGATCACTGATAGTTATTAAGTAAGAATGTAATGAAGAATTAGCTTGAGTTAACCTGAGTTATATGAATCCAATATAAAAATGCAGTAGAACCCACAGTAGAACATGTAGAACACACACGCCCTTGGTTGTTCACGTCAGCGATGTGTCCTCTTCTTAGAGGTTTATACTCCAGCCCATGTCAGACAGATTAAATACCTCTGTGTTTTAATCACACCGTACGTAGGTTTCTCTTCATCTCCCACAGAGCTGCAGAGATTACATACGAGATGGAGAGTTTCAAAACTCCGTGGACCAAACCTTGACCAACCTTTATCGTGGGCCTCTTACACGCTGATGGCAACAGCCTGCTCTTCCTAAACAATTTTAAACCCCTCCTGCCTCTCCACTGTCTGGTTTCTATTAAAAAAAGCCAAACCCATGTTTCAGGTTTCACAGCCTGTAATTATGATGATGACTGTGATAACCCGTACTGCAGTAGTGGGGGACATTTATGTGGTTGTCCTGTCCCAGCGCTGAGGCTGTTATCCAGATGTGTCTCTGAGAATAATCTTAATATGTTTCAGTTTTTTACTTTTAATTTTTTTGTTTTTCACAGCATGTTAGTCAGGATCTGCATCTTGTGCAAGCGAGTAACGGCACACAGATATGTCAATGACAACAACTAAAACTGACGTGACACAAAAAGATTTCACACAAAGAAGTGGTAGTGAGACAACAACGATTTCTAAAACAAAACTAAGCAAGGATATGAACCCGTTTATTCCCACAGTTTGAGCTCTCAGAGTTTCTAGGGCTGATGTATCTCGGTGGGGTTCCTCAGTCAGGGCTGTACAGTTTCATCTCCTGCTGTCAGAACAGCTGTTTCTGACACGCCTGTGGTGTCACTGGGTCTCACTGGGTTCAAGCTGTGGTTAGATGGATGCTATTTCAATTATTCTACTCCCACTACAGGCCATGCAGTACATGGAACTCCTCCTAGAGAGTCACCGCCCTGTCTCAGGGACCCATGGAGCTGTGGAGCGGCGTAGGAAGCTCCTGAGCCAGCTCCCCGTTTATGACCATGACCCCATGAAGTGCCAGAGCCTCGCCACTGACCAGGAGGTACAGTACTGCGCTGGCATCATTTTACCAAACACTGAATTTTACCAAAGATTGTATCTAAGAAATTGACAGAGCTTTTTGGTGTCTAGCGACTTTGGAAAGTAAAGTCCACGAACCAGTGGTTGGGAACCATTTGTCCATTGTAATTACACATATAAATAAACAACGGATTTTTCATCTACAACAGGGGTGGGCAAACCTTTTGGCTCACGGGCCAAAATGAGGTTCAGAATCTGGCTGGCAGGATGTCGACTGCACGGCAAAGTAATTTAAACACAAATAAAAAGAATAAACCTAAACCTTTCACAGACGATTTGGCAGATTTATTGTCTGCCATCTAGTGGCATTAATAGGTATTACAGTCGATTAGTTATTATGCATTAAACAAAGGGATTGACGTCAGTCTTTACTAGACGTTGTACCAGTGTTTTGTAGGGCCAGATTAGTAAGCCCAGCGGGCTGTATTTGGTCCACGGGCTGTAGTTTGCCCACGTATGATCTGCATTAAGTTTCAGATGACATCAAAGTCTGATAAAACACCTCTTTAACTTTTTTTTTTCTTTCAGATTTCAACAATGCTGCTCTTTGTGAAGAAGTACAAACAGGAAGCGCTGGGTGTCGGGGAGGTGGCCTTACCAGGTGAGGGAGGAGCACTGAGGGAAGCGGCCATTCAGAGGATGGCGAAGGAAGCTAAAGATCGTAGCAACACTGACAAGAAAGATGCTCTGGAGAAGCAGGACCTCAGCTCGACTGTTAGCTGCGCTTCATCTGCTGCTGGATCCACTAACGGCACAGACGACAGCATCAAGAACGAATACGTATGTGTGACAGTTGTCAGTGATATAGAAGGAATCGGCAGAGTGAATTGTTGATTTATTTTTGGGCTGTTAGACTTTCAAACAACAACTTAAAAAATGCATTAGGTTATAACATTCCTATTATACTCTGTAATGTCCAAAATTCCTCCCTACTAACCTCACTACAGTTTTTTCAAACCAATCCATCCTATTAAAGACTCATATTTCTCAGCTCCAAAATCACCGATCCTATTATTAACATTTCTTCTCCTTCTCCCATAGCTGTGTACTGGTTGCCACAGTGACATTTCCAAGGAGAGTCCAGCGGTATATGCCGAGCGAGCAGGTTACCAGGATGCTCTGTGGCATCCCGGCTGCTTCAAATGTTCAGAGTGTGACCAGGGATTAGTGGACCTGGTCTACTTCTGGTCCAATCGGAAACTCTTCTGTGGGCGTCACTACTGTCAAACAGTTTGGCCTCGGTGTTCTGGTTGTGACGAGGTGAGTCGAGTCAGTAAAAAACCAACATTACACACGCTCATGAGAGTAGAGATGCTAAAATATATACTGAATATGATCCAACTATTGAAGATATGAAGACCTTAAATAAATATCTACCAAAATAAAACATTTCATTTCATCAATGGACAGCAGACCTTACCTTTACCCTCAAATGTCTTTCTTTGACACAAATATTAAGTTTACACTAGTAAATCTTGATGTTTAGTTACATCAAAACAGCTTCCTCCTGTTGTTGTTGATATTCAATAACTCCCCCCCCCGCCCCCACACACACACACACACACCCCTCACCCCCATCTCTCTCTTTGTTTTTCCAGTTGATCTTCAGCCAGTCTTTTCAGGGCGGGAAAGATGGACGCACATGGCATCGTCATCACTACTGCTGCTGGAAGTGTGGACAAAACCTGGAAACCCCCTGTCACCACTGAGACACTAACAGAAGGATGCAGTGTAGAGAAGCCTGGAGTGCTCCTTAACTCGACTTCAAGGTGCTTCACAAACAGTGAATCTATACTAAAAAAATAGAATATTAGACAACAGAGACAAATATCAATATTCTGAACTGATGTCAACTGTATTTGAGGACGTGTAACGTCTCGGTAGGCTTCAGATAAAAACACCAAACACAGAACAAGACAAATGAAATAATGATCAAGAAACTGATTATGAATTGTTTCTTAATATGCAGCCTATTTTTTAAAAGTGACTCTCCTTTGGTTTAAGCAGACACTAAAAAAATGTCAAAATTTTATTTTTGGAACTAGCCGATATTTTATAGACTATATTATTGGGTTATTGTTTTAACGTATCTGTGATGAAACGTTGAAATTTTTTGTTTTAGTTGTGCTACTGTGTTGTGCTACGTCTTATTGTCCACGTAAATTGTGTAGACCAGGGGTGCCCAAAAGGTCAATTTGAAAAGTAGCTCCCAAGCCAAAAAAGTGTGGACACCCCTGGTGTAGACAGTATGTGCAGATTTGTGTTTACATTAGAAAAGAAACTGGACAGTAGACTGGGTCACTACGTAGAAGTGGACCTTTGATAATGACCTTTTTAACTGAATTTGGAACTGCCAAGATATTTGGTTCATCCCTGCAGAGGAAGCCACATTTTATCTGCCTCTATCTCACCCTATGTTGAACTGTCACACTGACCGTCCAGAATCTTCTCTGAGGAGCTCTCTGCTCCTCCTTCCTGGCATCTCTCTTTGTCTTCCCTACCTTGTGTCCGAAGGTTAAACCTCAGCTGTTACGTATCCGGTCCATCCTCGTTAACGCCATAAAAGACTCTCATCATGGTCATCTTTGCTCCGGCTCTGCCCCGTGTGTTTAATGTAGCGCCACTGTCTCGAAACCAAATGTCCTCACAAAACATTTCATTTCACTCACACTGCTGTTGTCCTTGTGTCACACGTCACCCCTGGAATTCATGTCCACACCATCAATAATGGCTAGAAGATTAATTTATTTACTTCTCATTTACACACTACTACTTTTGTTGTTTTTTTGTTTTTGTTAGCTGTTTCAGATAAAGTTCAAATTTGTATGCGTTTGCCTCTCAAACATAAACATCTGCTGATGATGCGTCTACCAAAAGCTGCTGACTGTTTTCGATGCCTTACGATAAATTATTGCCATGTTTCTGTCACAGTAAGTTGAAAAAACCCTAAATAGTTCACAGTGAAGTTATTGTGCAGTTGAAAACATGTTTGCCAATAAACGTCTCCTAATCATCTCCAGGCAATACACAAACAGCTTTGCATTTGTTCCACAGAGAAATATATTTTAAAAAGATTAACTAGCCTATTGTCAGCTACTATCGGTTTCTGTTTGTTCCCTGTCTTTGTTAGTAATGAATAGCTGCTTATTATGAGAGAGCTAAATAATTCTGTGTAGCAGTGTTGCCTGTGAAGGTTTGAAACATAATAAAGTTTTCATGAACTTTAGAGAGAGAGTTTTTCTCTGCACATTCAGCCACACAACACAACACATTCCTAACAGGTTTTAAAACAACCTTGAACACAGACCAAAAGACTGGTGTGGGCAGATATTTCGATTAAGGACTGGGAGACTGACTACTAACAGTATACAGGGACTTGTGCTCCCCCTACAGGCCCATCAGTTTTGGCTTGAGGGGTCTTTTGATAACCTCACTATGTCTCATCTTCCAACTCTACTTTCTGTGTCCCCACCTTACTTTCCATTGGCCAACACATATTTTACAGTTAGGTCATCAATCAGTTGTCACTGTCAGTTTGCACTTAGATTTGTCGTAAAAAAAACAACCGTGACTGGGGTCACGTCAGGTCTGTTGTCCTGAAGCTGATCTTTAATTTAAGGCAGGGGTGTCAAACTCACCAGGGGACCACTTCAGCAATATGGTTGCCCTCAAAGGGCTGGTTATAACTAGAAGACTGTAAAGATGTAACTACTCCATAACATATAAGTAAATGTGTCTGCACCTGAGTATTATTTGTTCAAGTTGTACAAATGTTTAGTAAAGAAAACTTTTCATTCATCTATGAAGATACTCACATTCAAGTCAAACTTTTCTAGTAAATTACCAAAATAAGACAATAGACACAGACGTCTCTGTTCAGAATGATACATGTGAGGATATGCATCTGAGTCAAAGTGCATTGTTGCATTAATACGTATAATACAGTCAATATACTCTCTGAAGCAGCATATATTATAAGGCAGTTCAAGTGCTTTTTAAACTCTTGCGGGCCACAAAAAAAAAAAACTTGGTGGGCCACATTCAGCCTGTGGGCCTTGACTTTGACACGTGATTTAAGGCATCACACTCCACCAAAACTATTACAGTTGATTTCAGACAGTGAGACTAATGACGTTGTTTCCAAGCATTGCACCGATAACCCCACATGCTGACATACTCCGAGCAGAAATGAAAGACGTCCCTGTGGTTTTTTTGGCCGCCGTTCCTGAGCGGTTGCATCACGGCGCTGACTCATGCCTGACAGCTGGTGGAGCATGAAGGAAAAGCCAGAAAAGGATATTTTTAGTTCCAAACAGAGACAATGTTATAATATTTACTGATTGTGGTTAAATAAGGCTCTTAGTCAACAGAGAAGGTAAAGAGAGGAACTATTTTAGTCCTTCCTCTGAGTGTAGACACATATTACTTGGTTTACTAAAATACCATTCATGTTTAGGAATGGGCATGTTTTGTTATGCACTTAAACATTATCATGACACAGAAATGACAGAAATTTACAACAGATGACCTCATCCAAATAGATAAGCATTTTGCCATGTTAGAAGAACATCAGCGGTTCCTGTTCCCAGCCAAGGCTTTCCGTATGGACTCAGATAATAACCGTCATTGTCCCCTTCAAGACTTGGACAAGTGAATAATTCTTACACTCATCTCCCTTTTTCTCTGTGTTTCAAGCAGTAGAAGACAGATAAATGAACATTCTGAAAACTTGCCAGAAGGCAGGTTTATTTGTAATGCATCCATACACAGAGCAATTCACAATGATTTACAGTGGCAGAAATGGTAATAACACAGTACATTTAAAGTGTGTGAGTGAGTCAACAAAAATAATAGACGATAAACATATGAAAGTGCAATTAAAAAACGATGAACCAAGTCAAACACATCAAGTAATGCAAGTTCATTACTACTAGCTTAGCCACTTTGTTTTCAGACCTGATGTAAAAGAGCTAAAGTTCATTACTACTAGCTTAGCCACTTCATCTGCTTCGAACAGCATTCAATTTGACCTGGCGTCGCAGCCTCCCCTTGTGGTGTTTGCACATAAACACACGCACGCATGCGCAGAGGCGATCTGAGAATTGCTTTGTTGTTTCCAACAGAACGTAAAGGCAACAGCGTCCTGGACGTGCCGCTTCCCCTTTAAATAGAGTTGGCCAAGTATGAATGAGGTGAAAGGGGAGGAAGTGAAGACAGCAGCGGGAGGACACATCAGAGAAACGTCTGACAGGTAAGCTGCTGCCTTTCTGCTGAATATCTGATGATGATGAAGAAGATGATGATGATGATGGTGTTAATGTTAATGATGATCTGGATAGACGTGTCAATGGAAGCCATTGTGGGTATAACGGTGCTGCGATGGTAGAAGTGACTTTACGTAACCTGCTCCACTTATGTTGGTCATGCTAATTGGTGTTTTCAGTTCCTTATTCCTGGATTAAAGCTATTTCCTATCATGATCCTTAATAATTATATTATTAATAATAATATTTATAATAATAATCAGTGAGTCTGCCTGTCGTTCGCCTTCTCCAACCTTCCATCAACTTTCTGCGCTACTGACGTCACGCTACCACGACTGTCGGTTAAATTACACAATAATTAACCAGAAATAGATTTTTACTCCAATTTTTCTAATTATTGATGAATTCTAAAACGTTTGTAAACCTTCTATCCATCGTGTTATTGCACAAAGATCCGGGAATAGTATAAAAGTACTTGTCCACAACTGATGATTTACATCATCGCTTTTATGACTCTGTCATAACTGGTGCAGGCGTCCATGTAAAACATTGAACAGGAGAGCTAATGTCACAGTCAGTCCATATCTGCTTGTGTAATGTGTTACACATTGTTACAGTTTGTAAGGTTCTGTAATGAATTGAAGTTAGGCTTGTTTTTTATTTTAATTTTATCCCACTGTACTCCAATTTAAGTGAACCTTAAGAGTCTTGCGCTGCATTTCCTTTTAAACTGTGTGTGTGTGTGTGTGTGTGTATTTTTCTCTCCCACAGATGTTTGCAGTGATGGAGATGATTGTTCCTGCGTTGATAATCTCAGGGTGTTGTGTTGTGCTTCCTCTCAGCCTCTTCTTTGTCACTTTTTTCTTATGGCCTGCAGCGATCATCAAAGCCTATAACTGGTATGAACAAAATAGCAAAACAATCAGTTGTCATTGTTACAAACTGTCAGCACAGTGTTTTACACACTTGCGTTTTATGCTTTATTATTTTGTGTGCGCCAAGCTACACATGAAAATGTACTAGTATGTAAATGTAAGTTTGTCTTCGACTGGTTGTGTTAGTAATACAAGCAGCTCAACCGGTTTCAGCTTCACAAACATGAGTCAAGTCACCATAGAATCAGAGTGTGATTTGGTGAAGAGCATTGACTATTATTATTATTATTATTATTATTATTATTATTATTATTGTGTTTATCATTAGGTTAAAGTTCAGCCCTGTGTTGTGGCTTTAACGTCTTAGGACTTTCATATTGTAAAGGCACAGTTCCAGTAAATCACTTGTATTTTCTAAGCGTTTCAACCATACACACCCACACTGATGGTACAGTGTGAATGTATAGCTGAGTCACTGTGGTTGAACCCTTCATCAACACCTCTGTCACTGAGTCAAAGTTCAAGATCAACTTAGGAACATTATAGAAAATAAGTCTAAAACTTTTTTCAAGAATTTGTTATGAACATCAAGAGGCAAAGACAAAATATTATTACATTTGTATCTGTTGTATTGAACATATATGATGCAGCAGGGTTTTTAATGATACACACAAGGATTCTTGTATGTTTTGAACGATTAACCCATAGGATAAATGGCAAGGTTTAGTCAGCTCTTGATATTTACACAAGGAAACGTGAGGTTCACTCATTCATTTCATTGAATGTCTCATTATTTATAACTCATAAGAAACTGTTACTGTACTGGCATCTACGGTAACGTGATTTCACTAACATGTTGAAGAGACAACAACAAAAATGTGTTTTTGTCTCTTCAACATGTCTCTTCAACATGTTTGTTAACCAAGTTGAGACTTTAGTTTCCTTCAGTTGTTTAGAACATGCTGACTTCTCCTCATCCTCATCATATTCATAATGTTTGTGTTTGTGTTACAGCTCACTGTATCAACTGATCAGATAATTGATCTCATTGGACGGTTATGCTATTGATTGCTTGGTGCAAGACAACACAAGTTGTTTGGGCCGTAAGAGTGGTCAGCTTGACAACAACAAAGCATCATGTGATATATATTGATCACATGTCTCTACAGATAAACAAAGTTATAGCACTTTTGTTTTTTTTTTGTTAACCAAAAATAATCTGTGTTTATTTTCTGAAAAAACAAAACAAGATATGAGCTCTTAAGAATATTAATAATAATTAATAAATTAATAAAATAATTGAGTCTCTTATTTGTCCCACAATGGATACATTTACATTGTGAGTCTTTGAAACCCACACAGGCTGCCACTGGAGGCGCCATTAAGTACATGGTTGCAACTCATGGAAGTGTTGCTTTGTGCTCGGTGGATGCAGGACCTTTCTGCTGAAGGAACAGCTCTGTGCTGTCGTGAAGGGCTGAGAGGAGTTGTTCATGATGGATTTTAGCTTAGCCAAAACCCTTTTCTCAACTTCTTCCTGAGTGAGGTCCAGAGGACAGTCTAGGACCAAGCAGGCCCTTCGTACCAGGCTGCTGAGACAGTTGTCCCTCTCTGTGCATCCACCAGCCCAACAGAGGGCATAAAACACTGCAGAAGCTCCCGCAGTGTTGTAAAACATTTTCTGTATGGGACACCTGTGTGTTGACCGGTCCAGTTTGTTATTTAGGTGAATACCTAGGTATTTGTTGTCCTCTACAAGTTCAATGTCCAAACCCTAGATGTTCGCTGGGATGGTTTTCTGATAATCATCTCCTTCGTCCTGGTGTTGTTTATCTAATTATTTGTGTATACTTAGAAGTAATCAAATAGTGTAGTAGAATAAGTGTGTTACAATTTCACTTTGACTGTTCCTACTGTTCTACTTTCAGGAATGAGCGACGCAAAATGCGGTTGGTGGTCCACAACTCTTTCAGTGGAAGTTACCGCTTCAGTTATTTCAGCAATGTAACACCAGGTGGCTCCACACCATCGCTGCTCCTGCTGCATGGCTTTTCTGATAAGAAGGATTCCTGGCTCCCCCTCATCAAGGTAGCATATCTGTGGTGTGTGTGTGTGTGTGTGTGTGTGAATATATATATACTGAATAGATATTATTTATATATATATATATATATATATATATATATATACTCTGTCTAACTCCAATAAAGTCTTAACACTAGTAAGTTGGGAAAGCTTCTTTTTCTTAGCCTTCTTAGCCTAACAAAAAACAGCTTGAGGAGTTAAAGAAAATTAAGACATACAGAGAGGGAGAGTAAACTTTAAAAAAGCAAAAAATAAAGACATGGGAGTTAAGGGTAGAAAACAGAAAACAATAAAATCAGACAAATAAATAAAAATATAAAATACACGACACGATGAATGGTAGCGCTTTGGCCCAGAGTCAATGTCTCTGTCATTGGTATGGAACCCCAGGGTTCACCTCCTGGGCAAGATCTAATCCCGGTTAGGGCGGTTGGTACCTTCCAGTGAACTCACCACCTGCAGGAAAGTTCAGGGGAGTTGGTAGGGTGCAGTGTGATTTGAGTGGTGGTCATGGAGACTGCTGCCCCTGTGACCCGGTAACGGATAAGCGGATAAAAATTGATGGATGGACGACACAGAATGAGAGGGAAGGGAGAGGCAGGTAGAATAAATGGCTGATGACTATTATTTATTTTAAAGACAATACTCTGCTGACCTGTTGTTTCTTTTTTCTTTTCTTTTTTTTCACTTTTAGTACCTCCCTAAAAATCAACACATAGTTGCTGTGGACATGCCAGGACATGGGGGGACGAGTCGCCCCGATGGTGAGGACTACAGCATCGAGGGACAGGTCGTCAGGATCCATCAGGTCTGCATACAACATACAACCAAATGTCCTAATTCAGTTCTAAGTCCACTTTGTGCTAATGTGATCAAAGTAAATCCACATGTAAAGCCCACATGTTTATTTGTCCAAAACATCAGACACCTGTGTCAATCTGTAAAGTTTTTAATAGGACTTTCAATTAATATCTTACCTTTCAGTAACACCTTTAACATGAGGTGACAAAGGATAATAATAGTTCATAACAATTGTTAATAGACAATTGTTAAATATAATAATAATTATTATAGCAAAGCTGCGATGGAAAACATGTCTGTATTTTTATCCAGAGAGACATAAAAACCCTCATTCCTGTGTCTATGTAGTTTGTACAGAGTATTGGTCTAAATAAAAGACCCTTCCATCTGGTCGGGATATCGATGGGTGGGAATGTGGCAGGAGTCTATGCTGCCAGGTACCCTGCCCACCTGTCAGGGGTTACGTTGATTTGTCCATCAGGTAAATTTGTTAATAATATAAATCTTTTTTTTCTTTTCTTTTTTTAATAAAACACGACTCTCCCTCTGTTCTCCAGGCATAGATTATCCCACAGACTCTGAGTTTATCAGTCAGCTGAGAGAACTGGAACACAGTCACGACATTAACTCTGTTGCTCTGGTTCCAAAAACTGTTGATGAGTTCGAAAATATGTTGAGACTCTGCTGTCACACTCAACTCAACATTCCCAGACAGGTAGGGTGGTGCTGTGCAGACTAAAGGAAAAGTTTGGGTTTTTTTTTCTTAAGACTTAAGACATGTTTATCTCTCTCTGACCAAGCACCAAAAGAAACTAAATTTCCAACAGTAATTCAAAGTATTGTGTGTGTGTGTGTGTGGGTGGGTGTGTGTGTGTGTGTGTGTTTGTGTTGTCAGATCATCAATGGGATCTTGAGTGAAAGGATTCCAAACAATGAATTTTACAAAGAAGGTCAGTGGAGTTGAAGTATTTTCTTTTTGATCAGTTAGGTTAGCTTGTCAATTTGTCCTTCTAAGGTCTTTTTTCTGTGTTTGTGTTTGTATTTACAGTGTTGATGGAAATTGTCAGTGAGACCTCTAGGTACTCATTACAAGATAAACTACATCTGATCAGTACACCACTGCAGGTTATCTGGGGGAAGGAGGACAAGGTATACACACACACACAAAGATGCAGCTGAAAGCATACAAAGACATTTTTTATATCTGAATTTGACAGTTATTTCTAAACAGTTTGGTTGATACTAATTGAGGTGCTAGTATTTCAGAAATTACGTTAAAGATGTTAAAAAGCAATATGATCACCAAATGAAATAAAACTCATCTCACGGCAGCAGATACATAAAAATAAAAATAATCATGTTTCAGTTGCTGGATGTTTCTGGAACAACAGTGGTGCAGGCTGCACTGCCTTGCAGCCAGGTGGAGCTGTTAGACAACTGTGGTCACAATGTACCAATGGAGCGGCCCAGAAAATCAGCAAAGCTCATTATGGACTTCATGACGGCATGCAAATTTAGCATAAATGATGATAAGAAACATTCTTGAAGATTTCTGTTCGCTGGATGAAGAAGAGTGGAAGGAATGGTTGATTGGACAAAAGAAATGAGAGTTATTATAATGTAAACCAGTGGTCTTCAACCTTTTTTGTACCAAGGACTGGTCAGCATCTTTTGGACTCTGTTCTGTTAGTATCAGAGTCTGGATGACGTGATTTTGAGGTAATGTCAGATTGTCTTTGAATGAAGTAAATTGTGTCCCACTGTGGCCCAGTAACAATTGACCTATGGACCGGTACCGGTCTGCAGACCTGTACACTATAATGATGACTGATGTAAGTATTAAACATTTTTAATGTATAACAAGTTTCCCTGAAAGTGTATAGCCAAATGAAAACTTTACAAACACAAAAAAACCACTGGCTCTTAAATATGTTTGAAGTGTGATTTTTACATGCACTACACTTATGCTGTAATCTGCTATATCTTTTACCACATTTATTTCTTCACAGGCTATGATTCCTACTGTGTGCTAGGTCAGCTGCTACTACATTTTATTAAAAAATAAAAATAATTTAATTACAATTGATGACAGAGTTATGTTGTTATTCCTCGAGTAGTGTCTGCTCCCCCAAAAACAGCCATGATGTATGGTTTAGAGACAGTAGCAATAGGCAGAAGACGGGAGGCGGAGCTGGAGGTGGCAGTATGTCACTGTTTCACGATTAGATCACCATAGCTCTCACCCACTTGAATGTAGCACTGTTTAAGTAAAATTTCCTGTCTCTCTCAGTTGGCACGTTTCAGGAGCAACTGTGGTCCAGAACAAGTGCTGCCTAATTGCCAGGTGGCGCTATTGGACAACTGTGGTCATAGTGTGCTGTGATGCTGTAATGTGATACATGTGAATTGAATGGGAATTGTAAACCATGTAAGAATAAATACTTGAACTCATCCGATCGTGATGAAATGCCAATGAATAACTGTTCGAGATAAACGATTGCAGATACCTTTTTATTTTTAAACTATATATTTATTCAAAAAGGTAGCACTGTACATTATACTTTTAATTACAATGTCTTGAATTTGTTATCTTTGTTACATCAGTCAATACCCACCCACACACGAAGGGAAGAAGAAGAAATAATAAAAAAAATAAACAAGTTGTAGATATCTTTTGTTAGGCGAAGTCTGTTGCAGTTCCGGAATAAACCTATAGTGGGCAACAATGCACGATGGTGGAACCTCCCGAAAAGCGAACGAAGAAGACAGAATGCTAGTTCACAATTTCACAGATTGGTTGAAAACAAACACGCGAATATGTGCAGTTGGTGAGTAAAACTGGACTGGTATTTCTCATATATAGTTTTTTTTTTAACAGGACGTTCTGCTAAAGCTGCGATTTCTGAAACGCATCTCAAACAAGCCTTGGGTCCCTAGTCGATCAGTTTGACCTGCTGTTGGCTTATTTAGCTTTAAATGCTACAAACACGTGATACCTGATATTGTAGCTTAGAAACCTAGCATTACAGGTATTGATTTTAAGATGTCAATCAAAATCAGATATACACATTTATAACCATAATCAGTTTTACAGGTACAATTCTTTAATAGGACAGATAAAATCCTGATGGAAATGAGAAACTGTTTTAAGAATTAAAAAACATTAATGCAATAGGACAATAGCAACCCAAAAATAAAACGTGCGTATATTCATTGGTAACGATAACGATGTTGTTTTGTTAGTAAACTACTAGAATAGCAGCCTACCGTGTTGAAGTTGAGTATGTTTAGTATACAGGGTGGTCAAAGTAAATATACTGTCAGTGGGTAGAAAGATGAAACTTTTTAAACACTTAATGCATTAAAGAAGCAAAGATCATGAGTGTCTAGAATAAACAAAATGTTTAGGACTTTAGGAAATAATGTCAGAATTGTACAGTAATGAGACTTACTGTAATTTCATAAAGTTTGGTGATGGAAAAGCATCAGGTGTGCAGAAACCCCAGAGCAGATCTGTGATTCATTCATGAATTCATGTATTGCAATTATGCAACAAAGTACTTAAACTACTAGTCGAATAAAATGATGGTTTAAACAGAAAACGGCAGTTGTTTGTTTACAGTATGTCCTGTTTTAGTTATACACACACCTAACCAAACAATAAACTTAATTTGATCTTGGCACTTCTTTGTGCAGTGGAATACTTCTGTAATGCGTCTTAAAGTGTTAAAATCTTTTCAAAAATAAAAATGTTCTTCTTGATTTCTTTTGAAGGTAACAAACCCATCACCTGCTGCAGTCACTGATGCCTTATTATCATGAAAGGTGTCAGCACACAGAAGAAATCCACTGGTTATCAACGGGTCGTGTTGAAGAACTCTGCACCGTACCAATACCTGAAGACCTGCCTGTAAGTTGCTGCGCCGCCGCCTATAGGAATAAAATAAATCCACCTGAATCACTGAATCCAAATTTACATTAATTTCATTAAATATAAACAATAAACAATTGAATTTGAGAGATTTAGGTTTAAACATTTTAGGAAATAATGTAACAGTCTGTCATAGATTAGATTACGATAAAACTACTATAAATCATTTTTCCTCGGCTGGAACTGTGTCAGTCCCTCATAGTCACATTTAAAAAAACAATTCAATTTGTTTTTGAAATGTCACCTGGCATCATGGTGAAGAACATATGACATACAGTTAATCATGAAAATGTTTGTTTTCATTCCTAAGTCGATATGTACAACGAAAAATCGTGTTTTTCTCTTTTTTGGGTTTTGTCTCTGTACAACTGAAGCACATGATGATAGTGTATTTCTTTAGAGTTCTAGAAAATGAGTCCACCAGACTGAGTGCAGTGGAATTCAAGCAATTCATCATCACAGGTCTAAAGATTCTTTATGGAGAGGTGAGATCTTCGCCAATATCTTTAACCTACGTCTGTTCTGGGTGTTGACAACGCGACCGTTTATGTGACTCAACATCCTGATCAGCAGCCTAACTAGGCAGAGCCACAGCCTCCCTAAAACAGTTAAATGTGTCACAGGTGGGAGCAGCTTTAACATTTGACGTGTTGAAATACGATGAAGACAGCCGCACTGCTTTTCTGCGTGTGCCAAGCAGGTGAGAGTCAGTTTGACTGATGGTCAGCACATTTCATTGAACGACTCTACTTGACTGTGTGTGTGTGTGTGTGTGTGTGTGTGTGTTATTGTGTGTTATTGTTTTTAGGGGTTTAGTAAAGCTGTGGAGCTCTCTGACCCTGCTGGGCTCTTACCAGGACCAGGCCTGTGCTTTCAGGATACTACAGGTCAGCTGATGTCTTTTTTACCTGCATTTCTTCTTGCTTCTGTGAATGAGTCTTTCTATTGCAGCTGTAGTTATTATTTGTTGCAACAATATACGAATAAATAGAAATCCAGATTTGTCATGTACCTTTGAACATAGTTTCTCCTTTAACTTCTAGAGCACGTACGGACTATATATACTTCATCTTCCTAATTTAATTTAAATAAGATGTAATTTTTTTCCCTCCTCTACATTTACCAACCACATTGTCTTCTGCTCTTCTGTCCAGGTGTCTCCGTTCCTGCTGGCACTGACAGGAAACAGCCGTGAGTTACAGCTGGACTGAAATAGAGGAGTGTTGTTTCCTAAAGGATGACTTTAATACAAAGAAAAGCCTTTAACAAACTGCTCTCATGTTTCTCTAACATTGCCTCTCTACAATGTCGGCTGCTACACATTGGCCAGCGAGCCTCCCTCACTAAAACGTTCTCCACCCAAGATGTAGAGCTGTTTGCCAAACTAACAGGTGACACTAACCCCCTCCATCTCGACCCAGTCTATGCCTCCACCACTGTCTTCAAGGCACCCATCGTCCACGGCGTCCTTATCAATGGTCTGGTCTCTGCTGTGCTCGGCACCAGGATGCCAGGCCCGGGTTGCATTTTCCTGCACCAGAAGATTCGCTTTCCGGCTCCGTTGTATGTTGGCGAGGAGGTATTGGCTGAGGCTGAGGTGCTCAAGATCAAAATGTCGTTTGCCGTGATTGGTGTAAAGTGTTTGGTCAAGGGCAAGGTGGTGATGGAGGGAGAGATGAAGGTGATGATGCCAGAGAACAAGCAGAAGAAGGTTTGAAAAATGGAGGAATTATGTTGACAAGGAGTGCTTGTTAGGAGAAATTGCTAATAAATATGGTGTGTGGTGTAAGTCCATTTCACTTTTTGTTTAAGGAATAAAATAAATAATATTTTATTTGTATATTAACTTTTTTGTCATTACGTTTTGGCTACATTCTTTTAAACATTGAAAAATAATTCTTGACCTCCCTGAGCTACTATTTCTGTTTAGATGCTGTTTAATGCTGTGAGGAATAAACTGCAGAAGAAGTCATGTTTTCTACATTGTTTTTATCCTAATATGGGAAATTGTCAGTAAACTAAACATCTCTAAACATCTGGTGTAATTTCCACACATCCATGGCCCCAAAACCTGTTGGAACTCAATTTTCTAAATGAAAACATAACATTAATTTCTTTTAGGGCCAGTTTCTCAGACAAGGCTTAAGCCTAGCCTGAGACTAAAATGCCTGTTTGAGCTGTCTTAACTCAAAGCGACTTACACAGAACCATCTTAAAATAGTCCTAGATTTAGCCTTAAAATGAACTGACTGCATGAAAGGGGATTAAAGTCACACTAGGACTAAATTGAAGCTTAAATGAATCCTTCAATTAGGCAGGTTTAATTTCTGCTTAGTAGTTTGTGAGGGATGAAAATCAGCATGCAATACTGACGCCAGCCAGACAAATACTTGTGAATAGAAATACTCGATTAAATTACTTGGCTGAAATACCTTTTCAAGGCTTCTTTTAGTATAATATTTAGTATTAACATCTGTTAAAGTAGTAAATATTTAAAGTAAAGTACATTAATTTAATGTTATTAATTTAAGCTTTGAAACACAGCATACCAGTCTGAATTAATCCACTGTGCTCAACGTCTCCTGACCAGCAGACGGCAGTAATGCAGCGTTTCTAGCGCGCAGTCCTGACAGCAGATCAGGACTGATTGTGGAGCTGGCTAGCTGGCGGTTACTGGTTACTGCAAAGCTAAGCTAACAGCTAGTTTGTTTTGCCTTGGGGGTTGTTTAGCCCCCTCCACTCAGCTGGACTCCGCCTCACTGTTTTCGCTGCGGATTCACTCACTGACGGACAGAGTTACAGGTCGACCTTCTGTTGTCCAGTCACCAGGATGTCTGTACGTGAGAAGCCGGTCCCCGGCAAATTGCTACTGGACGACACCGTCCCGCTGACGGCGGTAATCGAAGCCAGCCAGAACCTCCAGTCCCACACGGTGAGTGTTTTCACTGGACCATAGTTTATCTGACAACAGCAGTAGCAGCTAGGACATATGCTTTTGTGCAGGTTGACGGACTTTTGTTCAGAACACAGCTTTTATCCTTCTTTTCTTCGGGGGGGCGGGGGGGGGGGGGGGTTTTAAAATTTTTACCGGGGTACATAGTTTAAATATGGGGGGGAGGGGCGTTTAAAGCATTGTCGCTGCGTCACAAGTTCAATTATCGGACACTGTGAGGGATCTGTTTTTTACATTTCCCTCAGTAATTGCCTTACACACTGGCGGTATTTGACATCCGGAGTGAAAATGGGATAGAATACCTGCCGTTAATGTCAACAGTTTCAGATATGATTCCCCTGTCTGGGTGATGAGTTTTGCTCTATGTCTACACTAATGGGACTGACAGGCAGCTGTCCCGGGCTCTATGGTGTTGTAAAGTGATTAAGCAATTTCCCGAAAACTGCCACAGTCAACAAACTGCTGATAAAAAGTGAGTGAGTGACGGTCAACAAACAGTGTCGTAAACCACAGCATCCGCCTTGAGTCACAGAGTGGGGACTTCACTAGGAGCAGTTAAAATGACCCTTAATTTATACACATCGTGTTTAATTTTGCTTGTGGGCATTTAAAATTGTGATTTAACAGTCGTATCATGTCAGCTATACTAAATACATTTATATTACATTATATATTACATTTTATATTATATTATTATCATTTATATTACATATATTACATTTATATTAAATACATTCAGCGTTGTGGCATGCTGTGATTTTATCGGATACAGTGCAGCATTCTGAAATGTATAGGGGCCGAATGGAAGATGCTTAAGTAAATATAAGACTTTAACACTGACAGAAAGTCTCTGCTTATCTTTACGTTAAAGCAACGTCGTAATATATTGAATCGAATTGAATTTGGCATGGGAGCGTGTTGAATTATTTACTCGAACAAGTATGCTCTGTTTATTATACAATATGTTATAAACCGTGACTGCGTGTGTAGAATGGAAAAACTATATTAGTGCCGCATCCAAATTCATTGTAGAAACAAAAGGAGACCGCTGCTGTGTCCGATAATGAATACATGGCATGAGGGTTTGTTGTTGACATTCCGACTGGAATCAGCTGAGCTAGTAATTTAGCTTCACGGTTAGCTTTGCACATCAAATTTAACTCATCGCTTGCACAGTTAGGGGCATTACTGCTTGTTACAAACATTGTCAGTGCTTTGATTTATCTTTGATGTATAGGTTATTTTTAACATGTTGGATTCGCTATATTCGCGATTTGCTATGAGATTGTTGTTAAAACCACTGTAACATATGTACTTGCAAGTTATTTTAGCCACAAACAGACATTTATAAGAATTCTCAATTCTTCCCAATTTTACCAATTATAAACATCAAATTAGACTCTTATTTATACATATATTTCCCAAACATCACATCCTTTTAGTTGACTGTGATATACGTTAGCAAACATGAGGTCATGCAGTTCTATGGTATTTTAATTGAATCTAAAGCGTGTCATGTGCAAATAAACGTGAAAGAAAATTGAATTACATAGTACATTATGAGAAAATGAATTAGTTACGTTTGGCTGATCAACAATGTTGATAGATGACATTAGAACAGATACAAGATTTCTTTTCAGTTTTTCCAAAAATAAATTAAAACTTCTACGTATAAGTCTAAGAACGGTTCTGGTTCCAGGAAGTGTTGTCAGGAGGAAGGGACAGGAGTTTGTGAGGCTGCTTAACTCACAAGGAGAAAGGCAGCTTTGTAGAGAAAAGGGAGTGTACAGTATGTGCACAAATGAACTGCACAAACGAGGACGGAAGGGATTGGACTGCAGAAAAAGTCCGTGTTCACGCAGTGATTCATTCTTTTCAAGAATTGAGTCACAAGGATCACTTATTTGGAAATAAAAGTGAAAGTTATGCACTTGAAATGAAAATCCTCTTCAATAAGGCTTACACACACACAGATACACACATAAATGGATATACATACATATTATAAAATCCGAATTGGTAATATACAAATGTATGTGTATATATATATATATATATACTTATATTGTATAAACACATATACATTATATAACAATAAATAAAAAACAATACGTTTAGCATGTTTAGTGCTAAACCAAATTCATTTTCTTAAGTAATATGTGTGTCAGTTTAATTAGTAAACCTAAATTCATTTTGATACTCTCATTCTCTCATTCCTACATATTGATGGACTTTCAGGAGTACATCATCCGGGTTCAGAGAGGTGTTTCTACAGACAACAGCTGGCAGGTAATTTACCATTCACATTCTGTTTCTGCATTAACTTAGTCCTCCTCCGCCAAAAGAGGACTTTGTCTCTGGTTATAACTCTACCATTAATCATTCTACTCTGCTCCTGTTAGAGTTACAACAGCAGGAGGTCACTCGATGTTCATGTACATGTAGGTTGGAGGTTAAAAGCTGTCAAGAAACACTTTATGGGTGATTTAATGTGGCTAAGAACTAGATAGAACGATAGAATGATAGATAACTATACATAAAGAGTTGCATTATTACAAATAGATATAAAAACAGAACTTTTGTACCCAACTTGGTCTAAATTACAGTGTAATTGAATAATTCTACAAAGACTAGTGAGCTGATAACCAAGCTAGTTTTTTGTTGTAGTTTCTCATCAATCTTTCAATGTAAAAGTTATCAACTTGTCCATCTTTGATTACATTATGTCTCTAATTATTTCAGTGGGAGCAGTTGCTCATCAGTGAATTTGGGGAGGGTTCAGTACCTTACTTGTCCTCTTATAGAGACAAATAAGCATTTACACTCACTTTCATATCTACAGTAATTACCACATACCGACAAACAAGAAGACAAGTGATAAATTACCGAACCTTAATCCGGTTATGTTCGTGTTGTAGGTGATTCGTCGCTACAGTGACTTTGACGCTCTCAACAGCAGCCTCATGGTGAGTTTAACCTGTATTTGCACTGCACATCAGGAGAGATGATAAAGCGTTAGAAAACTCTACTTGATACTCAATTCTATCCTGCGGATCGCTGTTGTTTTGTCATGGCACGTTAGAAAACCCACACAGTGTGGCGCCAAACAAAAATGTCCAGAAAAGCAAGCGATGAAATATGATGAATCTGAAGTTTCACTTTACTCATAATTTACTTACTGTGTGAAACCTCAGCCTGATGGGTTGAACACAATGCTGATATATGGAATTTAGGTGGGAACCAGCTCTAATGCTGTGACCAACTATCCACAGGCTTTTCTTTATTTTACAGGATCCCAATATAATGTTAGTTAAAAACCTCTAATCAACTCAGGTCACCGTAGATTAAAATTGTGAAATTCTGGTTCAGATTGATATTCAATAAATCAGTTATCAGTGGGTGTTTAGCTGATCTAAATTGTGGTCTGTAGGTCACGTCTCTCTGGATAGAACTTGTCATCCATTATGACCTTATCATTTCTAGAAGCAGGAAGTGTTCAGGTTTTTCTGCTGAGGTTTTGTCTTCACGTTTCCTGCCCAGGTCTTGCATTGACCTCCACTTTCAGCTTCTTATCACAGCGTGCCCTTTAGTCTGTTTGCCATTCTTGTATAGTTATGTTGAAAAAGAGGCAAAATGAGAAGGGAGACAGCGCAGGAAAACAACACAAAGTCACATGTTTTTGTTTTTTTTTTTTAATCTAGTTGGTTGAGATTAAACATCAAATTTGTAAAAAAATTAAATGTTCCACTTCTTCTGTCTAGGTTTGTGGCATCAGTCTGCCTCTTCCTCCTAAAAAACTCATTGGAAACATGGATCGAGAATTTATAGCAGAGAGACAGAGAGGACTGCAGGCCTATTTGGATTCCATTACCCAGCATCCTTTGCTATCTAGCTGCCTATTCATTAAAAAGTTTCTGGATCCCAACAACTACTGTGCCAACTACACAGGTTTCTCACCTCACTACTACTACAAATAAAAAATAACATGACATGTACTTACAGTACTTCTAACACTTCTACATTACTTCTCAACTATCTAACTGATTGCTTTTCTGCTTTTCTAGAAATAGCACTTCAGCAAGTTTCCATGTTTTTCCGGTCAGACCTAAAGTGGGAAGTCCTGGAGCCTCTCAAAGACATGGGTAAGTCTTAAAGATACTTTATAAGAGAGACAAACCGTACAATACTACCTCCAGTGGTATTGATACAAACTCAGTCTTACAAAACTCTGGTAAGTTTGGTACACTTCCTCTGTGTATAAAAAAAGTAAAATCCTAAGTTAGGTAATTCAGTTTGGACAGAGAACAAATGAAAATATATATGATATTATTGACAAGTAGCTGGAGTGGTTAGCTCAATTATGGAAACAATATAATCACAATTATTTCAAATAAATACTGACTATGGAAACATTTGAACATTCTTCATTCATAATGAAGAGCAAATGTCATATTCAATTCATAATTCATTTTCATCCGAAATAATTAATAATAATTAATAATTAAATAATTAAACAATTAATAATAAAGTAAACAAGTAAATAAAATCAACAACTTTTGAAACCTCTGGAAAACAAATACGCTAGGAAATGAAAACACAAAATGTATAAATGAAAAATGTATGCAATACAACCCAAATGTATCAATAAAATATAAATGTGACTCCATGTATTTTACTACAATACTAAGTAAAAAAAAGCAAATGCACTGCAACAACACAATAAAAGACTTTATCCATGTATTCACATTTTTAAAAATAAATTAAATAATCCAGTGGTTCAGTGGTTTCAATCTCTGTTTTAGTGTGACCTCAGACTGGAACAATGTTTATAATCCATCTGAGGGATTTATAATCTGACAGTTAAAGGACAGGTAAACACACAGATAAATTATTAATTTCTTTTCTCCTGTTGAAACCTCTACCCTGTTACTGTGGTCACTGTTTATCACTCAGCCGATTGAACGGCCCTTTGTATTTCCTTGGTTTTCTGAGCAGATAAAAGACCTCTTTGATCATCATTAACAGACACTCACATTTATTTCAGGCTGGAGGATCAGAAAGAAGTACTTTTTAATCAAAAACAAAGAGCAGCCAAAAGAGAGGTATCTACTCAGCTGGGTGAGTACAATTACTGATTCCAAGTCAGTAATAGAACACAGTGATCAGATGTTCTGTTTTATTTGACTATATAAATGTTTGATTTCATCAGTTCTATCCTCCCCCCCCCCATTCATTTACATAAACTACAGCTCTGAGACTTACTAATATGGACTCAGTTGTGAAAGAACTTTTGCCCAATTCACTCTGATGCAATATTTGTCCTTATCAAAAGCCACAAAACAAATTCTTCATGTCTTTTGTCAAACAAGAACCACACTTGATAAGCGTTCTGTTTTGTTGAGATAGATTAAAAAAAAAAACTCCATCTATGTAAGTCATTGCAATCGCCGCTGTTATTCTGCCCCCTCGTGGTTGGCTCTGCTCTTTTCTTCTGTCTTTATTTTAAAATGTCGAGGCTTATTTATTGTTGGTATCATCCTTCTTTATACAGATAACATTGATTAGTAAAATCTATGACATCGCCTCTGCATCTGATATATTACCAATGTGAAATTAAACTGTGAAAGACTTCAATAATGATGACATTCACAGATCTTCGTCTATGTCACAGGTGGACCAGGGTCCTGATAAGTTCCTTTCTGACAAAGACTTGCAGTCAGCACTCAAGCTGCTCACCAGTCTGTCTGTACGTAAACACTGTGTGTGTGCGTGTATGTGTATGTTGTCGTATTTATTTGGTACTGTGTTAGCTTCAATTATTATTAACAGAGAGTTCTTCTTCTTCTTCTTCTTCTTCGTCTTCGTCTTCGTCTTCATCATTGCTGTAGACGCCGTATCTCTGTCCACTGTTGTTTTCCAGCACTGGTGAATCTTCAGCTCTACTCATCCGGCCATTTAGTGAGAAAGGCTCCCTGAGAGACCACATCTGTAAGGTGAACGACTCTTTTGAATTTGACAGTGGTACAGTACGTGTCTAAGGACATACCTGGTTTCTCCCTTTCTGCGTCTAAAAAACATCCTTCTGCCTTTTTTTAATAACCTGCAACTGGGCTGAAAATATCTAATAGATTACATACAATACAGTAATAAGGAGGTAACATGTGTAACTTCCTTTTTTAGCATTCGGGATTTTTTCCTTAAAACAAATTATGAATAAAAAAAAAATGCTGTTTGAGGGTAAAATAAAGTTAAAAAAACAAAAACAAAACTGGCTTTGCTAAACAGCAGCAGTGAAATGTGGGGAGATGAGTACAGGTTAAACTACATGATTTGTTGTTTTTGTAAAAACTTTTGACTTCTGACTCTGCTCAGGTGAAACCCAGAGAGAGTTACCTGAAGAAATACTGCAACCCTAAGAAGAGCCAGGGCCTCGAACTGTCAGAGATAAAACTGTACGGCCGTCAGATCCTAGAGGTACACACACATATACAAACAAGACAGTTATTTATGCCATGCACCTACATGTATGCAGTACTAGTCTAATATTTTACCCTACATATGTATCCCATTCATGTGCAACATCAAACATTTCATTGTGCAATTCATGTGCAATATTTTTCACAAATTGTATATTTTATACTACTATGTTATGGCTTTTTTTAGTTTTTAATGTTTGTCTACCAGAATATTTAAATAGAGAAATGCCATCTACACTGTGCTAACCACATTTCATAGACAAATGAAAGAATCTGAATCTGAATGCACTAACACAACAACAAACATACAAACAAACAAACAGTCATTCACTGTTATTCAAACTTTTTCTGGGTTTGTAATTGTTTGTTTTGCAGGGTCTGAAGCTCCTCCATGATGGTGGTCTATTTTTTGGGCACCTCCACGCATCCAATGTTATGATGGACAATGGCGTGTGTCAACTGCTGGATGTAGAAAATGGCATGCTGGGAGTTCCTTCATTGTTACGACCAAGTTTCACCCAGTTTAGGAAGATCAATGTATGTAAAGTAGTACCACTGTGTGTTTGTGTGTGTGTGTCCCGCTCCTACAGGTGGTTAACATATATGACAGTAAAAATGTGTTTATGTCTCTGCAGACCACAGAAAGCATTGACGTCTTCTGCTTTGGACACTTACTGTTCGAGATGACGTACGGTCAACCACCAGACAGTGTTCCTGTCGATCAGTTCCCCTCTGTCTCCTACACAGCTGTGGGTGTGTATACACACAACACACAAAATCTTTAAATGGACACACACAGACATTAGAATGTCTTAGACTGTCACAATTGTAAAAGAAAAACTGGTCGTAAATGTTTATAAAATGTAAATCACAGACTTAAGTACCGAGAATCGAATTGTGTATTATTGACCTTATATGTGTTTTGGTTAAAGGTTTATCTTAGAATGACATTAAATACTAACCCTAATCACTATAACATAGTGATGATATTTTTGACATGTCCAACAAATAACCTTAAAAATATTAGTACTACAGATTATTCTAACATCTACTGTTTATTTTTATGTGTGTGTGCGCGTGTGTGTGTTTAGTGTCAGTCCTGCAGTCCATTCTGACGACAGAGGCCTGTAAGAGTGGGATGCCGACAGTGTCACAGCTCATGCAGACACCGTGAGTTCAAATATGTGTAGTGGATCAGTCATGTGATGCATGTTAAAATTTACAGGGACAGACAGATATCAATGCATTTTTCATGTCTTGTCACTTTGTTCAAAAAAAGAATAGAATAAATTAAGATTTTCTTTAGTGTTTAATTTACACAACTGTGTGTTTGTGTCTTGTAGTCTGTTCAGTGATGTCCGGCTCCAGCAGTCAGAAAAACAACAGATTAAGGTCAAATTTCTTTTGTATAAACATTATTTTCAATCACTTCCGACTATGATGTTGTTTGTGTTAATTCAATTTAAAATAAACTTCAAACTTCTGGATATTCCAGGTTCCAAGCAGACTCAAGGAGGCCTTAAAGACAGCGAAGGAGAGCCTGGAAAAAAGGCTGCAGGAGGAGCAGAGAGTGGTGCGTACTTTTGAGTTATAACCTTTGGGTTATAACAACAGGGAATGTCATTGACTTGACCTTGACTTGGGTCAATGGGAATTAATGACGATTCTGTTGTAAAAAAAAAACGCAGCTGTGGAAAACCAAGCAACAAAGGTTTCTCACCTTCTTTTTCATGTCATTAACATAAAAACTCAAACTTTCAGTTACTTAAATAAAGTCTGGCTGTAGAAGTTTCAGGTGATTTAAAACTATGTGTGAATGTTTTTAAAATTAAAGCTTTACCAGCACAAAAGGCTGACCAGAGCTAAATCCCACCACGGCTCAGAGGAAGAGAGGAAGAGGAGGAAGATTCTGGCAAGAAAGGTGGGCAATTAACAATCAACAATTAAGTTGTACTACTTTAAAGAAATGGTCTGTTAACCTTGAAATTAGAACAGAAACGTATTTAGTCTAACAGGATTTATACATTGTTTACATGTTACAGTTACATTTATAGAGTGAAATATTAATGCCTTCAAGGAATGTCTTCATTATGACAAAATATGTCTTAATTTTTTTTTTTTTTTGTTTCCAGAAATCCAGACAGTCGGCTTATGAAAATGAAGAAGAAGTGTCGGTCAGAAATAATAACAACTCTGGTGAGTTGTATTCTCCTTAACCTCCACCAAACACAACGTTGCAACAGAGGAATTGATTGATTGTTTCTTTAAACCCAAAATTAAGTCCAATGGTGAAATAAAATTGACAGTCAACAATGTCTGTGGTTCCTTCAGAATAAAAAGGTTTATTTATTTATTTTTTGTTAAAGGTTCAGGAGCAAGTTCCCCCCCAACATGTCCATCATCCCCCACCCCTCCATCCACTACAGGTATGTCTGCGGCTGCCTCTGTCTACCTATTTGATTTTTTCGTCATGGGTTTGTCCATTTTGTTTGTCTTCAGTGTGTCTCTCATGTGTCTGACTGACTGCCTGTCTGTCTGTCATCTCTACTGTTTCTCTGTCAACCTTTGTTTCTGTCTGTCTCTTGTCTTGTCTTGTCTAAGAAACTCAGGCAGGCTGCTGAGCCTGTACAGTAAACACTCACTGAGGTTGTTGTGGTTTTTTTTCCTGTAAGAAATAAACCTGCGTCTATGAACTCTGAGATTTGCATGTGTTTTCATGAACTTGTTGTCTCTTGACTTGTCTGTCTGTCCTTAATTCCATTGTCACCTGGTTTCCAGGTAGATACAGTCTCTGTTGTAGCAGCGTTTCTCTGCTGTAAAAAGGAAATAGAATACAGGGTGGGAAACAAACAACGTTTTCACTCAAAATTATGCTGACGATATTTAATCTTTCTCCCTAAAAGAATTCCACATGCAGGATGAAATGTTTCCTACCCTGGTATTATTGTCCCCTCTCCTTCTGTCCTTATACTCTCCTCTCTCCTAGTGATACTGTGTAAATGCTAATTGGTGCATTGAGCAGATAACTGTCATCTGTTTCTCTTTCTCTCTCTCTCTCTCTCTCTCTCTCTCTGCCTCTCACTCTTTTCTTTCTGTGCTGTTTCCACCATAGAGCATGCTCCATTTTGACCATATTGCAGGGTAAAGTAAAATTATTTACAATGTCGCTTGTGACACTTGGCTGTTTTTAAAGCTGTCGTATACCCAGGTTCCGAGCGTGCCCAGGTCACTGATAGATAATGACACACAGTTGGACCAGGGTGTATGCACAACTTTATCAAAACATCACAATCTGCAATGACTTCCAGAAACGAGATATTCTGAGTTTTTCCGGATTCCAAGCCTTTTTGTTCTCATTGAAGATTGTGATCTGTCACTCTTGTCTGGTCAGTCGGGGAGCATGTCATCATCTGTATTTGTCTTTCCTTGTTTTGGTTGGTATGTGTGCTACTGCATATCGGGGCGGTTTGTTACAGCGGAGTGTTAACTGTAATAGTTAACTGTCACACTTTCAATCTGACAACCATTTACCTTTGCTGTGAAACGTTTATTTAGTGCCAAATCCTACAAGGTGGATAACCATTGGATACCTATCTGATAAAAGACTACATAAGAAAGTGGTCTTCATCTTTCTTAACAGTGTGTAATTTGGGTTCTCTTTGGGTTCTGCAGTTTTTTTCTCATAGTCAAAAAACATGCAGAAGGTTAACAGTTCAAATTGACAGTAGCTGTGAATGTGAGTCTGAGTCGTTGTTGTTCACCCCATCCAGGGTGAAACCCCACTCACCCTATGACTGCTGCAATTTGTTTCACCCCCGTTCTCCCCAGCCCCATAAGACCCTGAAATGGATTCAGGAGTAAAAGATAAACACATAAACTAGTAATTGCACAGAGCTACCACTTTAGTGTAGCTGTACACCTCTAATAATGCTGTGACACAACTTACTTTGTTCCTTATTCAGGTACATGTTTATGGTTGATCCAGAAAATTTGGCTTAGGTTAGTTCTCTTCTCTGAGTTTTAGTGGTAGCCCTGCATCTTTGACATTGCATTACTGCCACCTTGTGGGTGTATATTTTCAAGGGTTAACATTTCAAACTAAGATTCAAACCAACTATTAGCAAGAGAAGATGAGTTAATACGAACTATAAGGTTCCTGCACCCTCCACCCTCAAGTTTTAAAAATCTAACTTCATACCATTTTTATTTCACTGACCCTTTGTTTAAACTCTGGTTTAAACCTGCTATACTTAGGTCTCCTCTCTCCAGCTCCTGCTTTGGTAAAGCTGCATGTTTATTGCTACATGTTTCAGATCCCCAGCATACTTCTTTCTGTTGGTAAACTCTGCCTTTATTTAGGATTTTGGGGTAAACATTGTTGAAAAGAGAGGCTCCAGGTTCACTATCAACTCACCATCAGTCTGTCGTTTCTCAACGCGAGTCTGGTTCTAACCCAGACACAGAGGTTGTTATCATCAACTTTTGGCCCGCAGGTCAAATCTGGCCGCCCAAACTGTCCAATCTGGCCGGTGACTGAATTCCAAAATAAACATGAAATAATAATGTTTGACAAAAATGTAATATTTATTTCAGTTTATTCCAATGTCTGTTCATAAACATCCTGGCCCTCTGACAAATAAAGTTGGTGATCCCTGTAGCTGATGGTGGGTTTACTTCAGCCTGGAAACTGATCAGCAGGAGCTGCTTTCACAAAGATGAACTCTCTAAATGTTCTTGTTGAGCTACTTTAAAAAAATACATTTTTATTCACTTTTACGAGTTAACATTGCATTTAAAAAAGTGGCAGAATTACTGAAATCAGGCAGGTATCTGTTCCTAGGAATACATGCACGTGGTGTTAAATGATCCAGAAATACTAGTCTTTGTCAATTATCCTTTATAATATTATATAGTTGTAGAATAATAGTTTAATAAATGTTTATTTTAGTCAGACTCGAGTAGGGACACAAAGAAAAATGATGAGCTTCCTGATGATTTGAAATAGAGAGCGGTGTCATGTGACCACTCTTTGAATGAAATGGAAAACGACAGACATGAATCTGTCCAACAACTCTTTGTGAAACCAACATCTGTAGGAAGTCAGACCTACCAGTTGTACTCTCATTCATTCTTGTCTCTGACCTTTCTTTTCTAATCCAGGAGCCCAGACTGCTCCTCCCCCACCCCCTCCTCTGCCACCTCCTGTTCCCCCCACGCTGAATTCATCGTCCTGTCCACAACCTCCTGTTCTGTCTTCCTCCAATGGAGCGGGGGGAGGCCGTGCTGCATTGTTGAGCTCCATCCAGTCCTTCAGTAAAGGCAAACTGAGGAAGGCTGAGACTGCGGACCGCAGCAGGCCCGCAACCTGACCTCCACCCACTGTCTGTCTCTCCGTCAGCTGGAAACATCATTACAGTGACATGACGACACTGTGGTTCCGCATTGTGGTCTGGTTCATGTCCTTGATTCCTGACATGTGAAAAAAAAAGTTTTATTATTATTTCTGGTTTTAGCTGATTTTAATTGTTTAAAACCTATTGCCTGGGTGAGAAGGAGCAAAGACCAGGCTTCAGTCTGCTTTTTCAAAAACTTGACAATCACAACTAAAGGTCTTTGTCTGTGTCTGAAGACGTCCAACGTGGTAAAACTTTCCTGGTGGGAATTTCCAGCTAATCTGCTGCTCCAGCATGTATTCAGCAGTAAACGACTTGGAGTCTTTCAGGACGTCTGGAAACATGGTTGACTCTGACTCAGTCCTAATCTCGTTCGATCCAGCTTCCCTTCTTCGAAGCCTTTGAAAGGTAGCATTGTCTCTGCAGCTCTGGCACTGCAGGACTTCAAATGAAGACATTCATCAGAGAAGATGTGAGATGCTTTGGGAAAAACATAATCTTCTATCCATTTCTGACTGTAATAATTTCCAGTAACCTTAAATCAGTTTTTTGCATGACTCAAAAGAAAGTGAACTTGTTAAAAGCAACACAGACCAGTACAAAAGTAGATTTGTTTCCAAAACAAGTCAGAAAATATTGTTGTTAAAAAAAGAAACACAAAAACAACCTTATTTGTTTGAAACTACACAAATACTCCTGGTAGGAATGAGAGGGAAATGAAGATTGATTTTAAAACCTACACTTTATCAGGCACAATTTTTTTAAATAATTAAAATCAATAATTATGGAGAATTATGATTTTTCTGTTGTCCAGTCCTTTTTTTCAACAAATCAAACCAAATTCGTCACATTAAACATAGAGAAATGAAGATTTAAGGAGAACTTGAATTTGACGAGGAGTAAGCCATTGGTTTTTTAGTTAGAAATTTGAAAAATTCATGATTCAGATTTATGATTTTAATTTTCTGCTGTCCTTCAGATTTGTGTTTTCTCACAAAGATCAAGATGAATCCAATGGGGAAAAATAGTGACTCCTAGTGACATCAAACTGGCACTTTAGTTGTAAATCTTTTCAAGGCAATGAAGAACCCCAGGTGACTGCAAAAGAACCATCTCTGATTTTACTTTAACTCTGAATCTAATCTGAATCCACCAGCTCATGTGGTCTAATCTGAATGTAGTAAAGAGTCGCCTTACTTTAAAATGTCATGATTATTGGATAATGATAGGCTAACGTCTGATCCTCCACATTGTTTAAAGAGAGTTTTTATAAAATAATAACTAATAAATTTCATTTTAAAAGTGATATGTTCCTATGTTACTTTGTGACAGTTACCTTTGTCAAACTATATTTTATCACTTTAAGCTTTTGAATTTTTTGACTTGGTCCTTCTAACTCATTATAAATTAATTAATAAACTATAGCACCGTGGCCTGCAATTATGGAGACAATCATCTCTATAATTATTTGTTACCTTTGGTACACGCCTCCTCCCAGCTCCCCACCCCAATATTTGGCAAAGAGCCTTATTGTGGCATTTGATAGTTCTTTTCAGAAGCATCTTGTGTACAATCCTGAAGTGTGCATGAATTTGTCTTTATTTTTACCCTGTTGTGGTTTTACACAGTTTGTCATCAGCTGAAATTAATTTAATGTGCCATTTGATTCACTTTGCCTGATTTTTCTTTTTTGTTCATCTATAGTTTTAAAATCAATATGATTTTTCACACACATCAACCTATTGTTTATATTAAATTGACTTGCAAATCTTGGGTCACATTTTACCAGAAAATTATAAAGTAATACAACTCACAGTTTTTTGTCAGTGATAACGATTTAATATTGATTTACAAACTGACTTTGTTACAGTATATGTGTTTTTGTGGATGTGTGTCTGGTTAACTTCTATATGTCTTCATGAGTGCAGCTGAAAATGTTTGTGTGCCTAGTACTTATAAAGACAAAGTTGTAGCAGATAATAGTATTGTATTGTGTCATAGCAGCCACAATAGGTACTCGACATCTTAATCTTGACACTACATAATCAACTTCAACATCACGATAACAAATTTGAGTTTGTTTTGTTCAAGTGTAGCCACTTAATACTCCTATTATCCTCGGTGCAATCCAGTTCAATGCAGTAGTGTTGACATCTTGAATGGTCATTGTGTCTTTTCCCCCAGCACTTCAAATGTGAGAGACAAGCCCAGAGTTGTGTTTTGTGTTCACCAAATAAATTTGTAAAATAAAGTCAGTCAATTCAAAGCACTATGTGTTGAAGTATAATTCAGTGTTCATGTTTTGCTATAAACCTGCCTTCATTATCAACAACACCAGTGAGTATGCTGCCATTTAAAAAAATCATTTTGATTACTGTAAAAAACATGTTACTCTTTTCCTTGTAACATTACTTATTACTTAATGTGTTTACATTGTTATATACTGTACATGCATGTATATAACAGACATTATTTTTAATATGTATAATGGAAATATTTTGAGCAAAATGTATTTGTTTTTAGTTCATTTGTTACAGTGGCAAGAATAAGGCCAAATAAAAACGCTTGGCAGAAAGTCCTTTCATATTGGAATACGTTTGGTATTTTTATTTTAAAAATAATTTCTAAGAATACGGTTAATTATATGTAATTATAAAAGAAAGGTACTGTTTATTTAATATCTAAAATCACCAAACATTGTTGTCTATTTTCTTATGAGAACATTATGCGCCGACTTCTCCGGATTGTCCTTGAGTTTTTCTGTATTTTTACATGCCTCCATCGCAGCACACCTATTTGATTAGCTGTATGTTATGACGTAGCTGAAGCTCCTAAACCGCTGTGTTGATTGGGCGAAACAATGACGTCACAAAACCCCACCTTCTATCCAGCAGAGGACAGGGTGAAGATGGCGGCGTCCCTAAGGTGCTTTCTCCGCTCAGGAAAGGTAGGTTTTTGACCGTTATTATTAAACTTTGTGTGTTTCTCTTTACTTCTTTCTGTGAGATGTTATACCGTGATGTGTGTTGTCTCTCCACAGAATGCCGTGTCAGCTCTGCGTAGGCAGGCATTCCACGGCAGCGCTCCGGCCGCGGTGCAGGTCAGTTAGCAACTTACAGGCTAATGCTAGCTGTGACTAATACTCAAGACGTATAATAGTGTTCTTTTTGTTTTACAGTTCTTAATCTTTTTAATGAACAGCTATTCGTTTTTCACGTAAAAACATCACGTAAATCTCGTGTTTTATATAAAATCAGTCAACTATACAATGACTTGTGGTTTTATAGGTGTCGATGCCCTTCTTTTGGTTGACAGCTGTCAAATGCATCTATGTATTTCTGATGTGTCAGTGTAGAGAACTCCCTGGGTTGTTTTTTTTATTATTGATTTTATTTTACAATTTATAATTTGCCTTTTAACTGAATGACTGTTTGCTAACTGCCATAGCCGCGCTTCCTCTCCAGCAGAGGCTGCTGTGGACACGTTCATAATGCTACTACGTTCTGTTGTTGTCGTCGTAGACTACATTTATATTTATGTTTTACATGAATTTTATCCTGTTACTTTTATAGAACTATTTTTACTCGAGCGAGTAAAAATCGTCTATATTATTTTAGAACTTGAATTAATTTAGCTAAAATGTTTTTATATTTTTTACCTGAACGAAAAAAACATAGTGGACTGACCTCATGACCAGTATTGTTTTGTATTTAGGAAAGTAGTGATCATTTCTCTTTTTAGGTGACAGTTCGTGATGCCCTCAACCAGGCGATGGATGAGGAGCTGGAGAGAGACGAGCGGGTCTTTCTTTTGGGTGAAGAGGTGGCTCAGTATGACGGTGCCTATAAGGTAAAAAAAACAAACAGATGTTTTTTAGTTCTGTACATGGCTCTATCAAACTGTCTAGGCTCCATCATGGTTTTTTAAATCTACATTTTGTGTGTGTCTGTGTATATGTTTGTGTGCCTGTGTGTGTATAGGTGAGCAGAGGTCTGTGGAAGAAGTATGGTGACAAACGCATCATTGACACTCCAATCTCAGAGGTAAAATAAAACCCTTAGCTGCACATGTTTATATTTTGTTCAAAACATCACACACAGTGTATTACACAGTTTTTCAGCCTTATTTACAGTCTCCATTCGTGTCCCTTGTGCAGATGGGTTTTGCTGGTATTGCAGTGGGATCTGCCATGGTGAGAATTCATTTCTTCTTCTTTGCCATTAACTTTGCACATCTGAAAATGGGGAATTTATCAAATTTTTATATTTTTTGATCTGGTTTTCTACTGGTTCCGTTCAGTTTCGTTTTTCTGCTAATCCAGTGTCAATTGATTTGAGGGAGAAAAATGCAGCCAAGCTGACAACAAAACATCATAATGTAGAGGCTCATGGCAGTTAGCTCTTTGATGCTCTTGATTTGATATTCCATACTTGAACAGAAGTTTTTTGGAAAATATTGGTCAATGTAAATATGTAAGTATAACAATAATCCTTGTAATGTTTATTTTCTCTTTAATAGACAAAATCTGACTAAACCAAAAAGACCAGTGACATTAAACTCTCAATTGAAGCTTATTTGGCAGAATTTCTTTTCTTTCACACCAACTGATAATAATATCTTGATTCCATAGGCTGGCCTGAGACCCATCTGTGAGTTCATGACCTTTAATTTTTCAATGCAAGCCATCGATCAGGTGATCAATTCTGCAGCAAAGACATACTACATGTCTGCCGGACTACAGGCCGTGCCCATCGTCTTCAGAGGACCTAACGGATCCTCAGCTGGTGTCGCAGCTCAACACTCCCAGTGTTTTGCAGCATGGTGGGTTCACTTACACCAGTAATTCAGGCATAAT